CTCTGAAGATTGATTGTCTTGTACTACAGTGCTGGCAACTGAAATCCGACCCCCTTGGCGGGGCGGTGCGCCTGCAAGGGGATCGGATTTTAGTTGCCAGCACTGTAGTACTAGAAGTAGCTGTCAAACAGGGAGACATGCGTTTTCACGACTCCACTCCTGTGAATGATTATAGTTATTATAATGAATATTATTAGTATTGTTTATGTGCACATCTGCTGTCTGTCAATGCTCTGGCTCAGTGCCAGTGGCTGGCAACCATGAGTCAGTCAAGTCACAAACTAATGCTACTACCACTACTAGTAGTAGTGGCAACGCCACGGTCAGCGGGAAAAGCGTATCTGGGGCCATAAACTATTATAAGAGTGTAATTGAGGAAGTGTGTGTTGCCCCAAACTATCGCCGAAGTCGCACCAACCTCTTCTTCACAAGTGACAAGTGTATAACTAATACTACTGCAGTACTTATAAAAAGAAAAAGGACCCAGGAACTACAAGTCACGCTATAATGTCCACTAACACCACCAGTTAAAATACTAAACAAGCAGCTCATGCGATAGCATTGCACCACAGTGACCGCCGGTACTGACGTTCCACAACTAACTGGCTAAGACCTCTAGCACGTCTTGGGTGCGCACTCTAACAGCCTTCCAACTTGGAATAGCGTAACTGGTTACTTTATTTATTTATTTATTTATTACAGCATCTCATAGCACAGTGAGAACACCGGCCAATACAAAGAGAGAGGGTGTTAGCCAACCACGGCAAGGAAGGGAGGAGGGGAGGAGAAGAAAAAAAGGAACCGGCATGGATAAGTAGTGATTGCAACAAAATGAGAAACACAAAATCAAAGTCAAGGTGCGACAAGGCGGAGGGAAGAAAGGTCCTTAGCTTCTTGGGGAAGCGCCAGCCACGCAGAGTACGCAGTGAAAAGGGGAGAGTGAAGTAGAAAGGACTTGTAGTTCCTTGGTCCTTTTTTTCTTTTCTTCAGCGAAAATACGTCTCAATAATGGAATCTAGCAATAAACAACGATATATTTATTTTATTTAAACACACGGCGAGGAGACAATAATTTGATAACCGCAATCAATAAAACTAGCTGAACCGACATTTGTGTACTTTATTCATGATGAATAAAGTACACAAATGTCGGTTCAGCTAGCTAGCAATAAAACTAGCTGAACCGACATTTGTGTACTTTATTCATGATGAATAAAGTACACAAATGTCGGTTCAGCTAGTTTTATTGATTGCGGTTATTTATTTTATTATTTTATTTTATTCCAAGCAATACATGGCTGGGGTAGCCAATGACCACTTTGCGTGACGATTGCAGGATTTTCATAGCCAACCATGGCTAACATGGAAAAGAGTAAGAAGTGAAAAAGAAAAGGAAAAGAAGAAAGAAGCAAATAATTATGGACTGAAATTGTGGTCTACTGGTAAAGCAAGGATGAGTACGAAATGCAGTATGTGAAAGAATTAATTTTTTTAAATCGGAGAAAAGAAGGTGAAGTGCGAAAGAGAAGTGTGACCTACAACAGGGTGGGTAGGTGGGAAATATTATTATTTCGTAGTCACTAGTGGTGGTACAAACAATTCTCTTTGCCTTTGCCTCTGGTTCCTCCGTTGCCTGTTGCCATTCTGCTTTTCGCTGCTGTCAAGTGTCATTCTGCTACATTGTACTTTCGTCGAACTCCTTGGCTTCGGCCTTGCTCTGGTAGCTGGTGTTGGCCTTGTTCTGCTCGAGATTCTGTTGGCACAATGGTGTCGACCTAGAACAAAATTTCATTGACTTGTAGTTGTACACGTACATGTGTACAGTCGACTCCTGACAACAATTATAACGAACACCATTGTGTTAAATTGAAACAAGGAAAACGGTGCGGCACAAGTTATGCGTTAGAGTCCACCAACTAAACCAGGTCTTGAACAGTCAGACATGCACAAGGTGCCTACCTTTGCGGATAATTAATTACCTTTGCGGATAATTCCGGCAGAAAAATTGACAGAATTCGGTACTTTTTCTGGTAAGTTTCATGCACGTTTGGTATGTGGATAAAGCAATGGAGCAGAATTCGAGGAATTGCCCGCCATAAGGTTTGTTTGGTTCTGCCAATTTCACTGCTTTCCGAGCAGAATCTGCCACCTTTTCGAGCAGAATCTGCCAATGCCTAGCACAAGGTAGCACCAGACCGTTTTCCTTGTTTCAATTCTTAAAAAATTTTCTTGGCTCACCGTCTGAGTACTTACTGAACACCATTGGGAAGGAGAATTCGTTCTTTATCCGAAGATTTGGTTCGTTATAAACGAAAACTGTTCCCTATAAAGGGTCAATATGTTTGGTTTCAAACAGGGCCATGGTAGGCCTTGACGGATTATGCTAGCATAATTTTTCGCATAATTCCTACCAAAATCGAATAATCGCATAATTCGAGGCAAATTGCATACGAATCGCATAAATTGGAATAATCCGCCTGTTCGCATCAAATTCCATACAGTTGTACATGTTCTACAAGTACAAGTACAAGTAGATGCACCAGGAAGTCGTAGGTTTACGACTCCCTTGATAACATGTCCAGTCCACTACAATCAGTGACGGTCGGACGGCACGTTGACCCCGTTGAACTTTTGCTACTACAGTACAACGCCCTATACAAAAAAATCCCCCTGTTATTTTGCACAGAAGCATCATATACATTAGCAGCATATGTGAGCATAATGCGGCATAATATGATAACTTTTAGCATAAAAATAGCATAATTCTGCCATTTTTTCAGCAATGCGAAAAGCATAATTTCACGAAAATATTAGCATAATCCGTCAAGGCCTAGGCCATGGACAATGGTTCGCAATAATTATCACGAAAATCGTAATATCTGACGGTTCGTTATAAGTGGCAGTATTCCGTGAATAGCAGCATAAACATATCGGTTGTGTGTAGCTACGTGGATTGCCCCACTGCTCGATGACCATTTTGAAAAATGTAGAACTCTATTCGAGGAGTGGGGCGGAAAACAGAGCATGAAGCCTCCCAGTACACCCCCACGGCCCACGCTCACCCTCTCCGTTTCTCCTTTCTGCTCTGTTTTGCCTTGGCGTTTTCCTTCATATTTGTACTGACTGTGTGCTGGTGAGGAAACAAACTGGAAAACCAAAATGGTGTGAGAATGAAAGTACAATCATGTGCTCCATGAATTTGGGCATTGGCGGATAATGCTCGAAAAGGTGGCAGATTCTGCTTGAAAAACAGTGAAATTGGCCGAACCATACAAACCTTACGGCGAGCAATTCCTCGAATTCTGCTCCATTTCTTTATTCACATACCAAACATGCATGACACTTACCAGAAAAAGTACCGAATTCTGCCAATTTTTCTGCCGGCATTATCCGCAAAGGCCTATCCATGATCCAGTAAACCATTGCCATTGGTAAACAGAGTCACGTGAAAACAGCAGATAGACTTCTACTACTGCTAGGCCCTGGTGGATTATGCTCGGAAAAGTAGCCTTTTCTGCTCGACATTCTGCTCGTATTCTGCCGGTATTCTGCCCCATTCTGCTCGTAATCTGACGTGCTTGTGAACACAATGGAGCCTTAAATAGGCGCCAGCAGCCCTCTCCGCACTTCGTAGCTGGTTCTGCAGAGCATCTGCTCCTTCTTCTGCACTTTTCTGCTGAATTCTGCTCATTCTGCTCCTTTTCTAAAATAACCCATATTCTGCTCGAAATCCTGCCGGCATTATCCGCCAGGGCTTTAAAAAGGGGAAGTTAAGGCAAAAATTAAAATTTCACCAGTTGTAGTCTTCGGGGTGCTGAGTCGAATGGTCTTGGTCCGAGAAAGCTGAGACGCTCCCTTCCTACTTGAATCCCAATCGAACTCGCGCACTTCCACCGAAACTGGGTGACTGCGCCCTACGAGATGGGGATACATGTATGTATGCAAAATGTCACTAAAAGCGCCATTTCGTTCTTATAAAAGCACGGATGACCGCGATTGGCCCATATGTTGTACTCTTTTGGACGCTGAGTCGACTGGTTTTGGTCCGAAAAGGCTGCGATGCAGCGTTCCTCCTTTATTCCCAATCGAACATGGTTGAAGAAGCGGTCACGTGCTCCTGGGTGCCAAAATCACCTGGTCACCACGCCAGCAGGCGACAACTTTCACACCAAGGTTCAACTCGAGTTCAACTCGAGAGACAGGACTGCACCCAAAAAAGGTCAAAACAGGCTGTAAGTTGTACCCTGCAGGCACGGTGACCAGGTGACTGGTGTACGCAGGAGCACGTGACCGCTTGTTCAACCATGTTCGATTGGGAATTAGGGGCGAACGCTGCATCGCAGCCTTTTCGGACCAAAACCAGTCGACTCAGCGTCCAAAAGAGTACAACATATGGGCCAATCGCGGTCATCCGTGCTTTTATATGAACGAAATGGCGCTTTTAGTGAGATTTTGCATACAATTCCCCATCTCGTAGGGCGCAGTCACCCAGTTTCGGTGGAAGTGCGCGAGTTCGATTGGGATTCAAGTAGGAAGGGAGCGTCTCAGCTTTCTCGGACCAAGACCATTCGACTCAGCACCCCGAAGACTACAACTGGTGAAATTTTAATTTTTGCCTTAACTTCCCCTTTAGCTACTGCCGTACTACTGGCGTCGTTGCGACCCGTTTGGTTTACAATTATTTGTGGGTTCAGCAATAAAGGATGTGATACCCGTCTGTCAGTAACGAGTTGGTCTGTCACTGACTGCCCACAGGCATACATGTAAGCCCATACTACCATAGCCATACTCCCATACTATCCATAGTCTTACATTTAAGTTGTACTCACTCCAGTCACTGGGTATGTTAGGTGGCAGTGGTGCCTGTTGTTGTTTTTTTTTTTTGTTTTTTTTTTTTCCACAATATCCTTTAACATGTTATTCACAGTGGGTCCAATGTTATTAGGCATTTTGCCTGTTTTGATTTCCACTATAAATAAAGTATACAACAACAACAACAACATGTAGATCTACTAAGACAGTATGTAGGATTGTAGCTGCTAGGAAAACTAACTTTTTCATGTCAGACTAGACGTAGACTGCAAGTAGTTAGTTGTACTAACTTGTAGACTGTGTTTTTACAGTAACACTGACACTACTGCCAGTACTGGTCACCGTACCGAGAAATCAGATCTCAGATTTCGATTTTGCGCCCGGAGCTGTGGAAGGGCCCTATCCTGCTGTCGGCTAGCTGGTGCAGTTGGCGGTAAACGGTCGGAGTTCGATGATAACGTGTTCTCCACCACACAAGCACTAGCCTACTAGCCCGCCGGGTGTGCTGTGAAAATTTCCAGAGAAAATTTCCAGATCGGCTTATTCTGACTGCTGATGAGAGCCGCAGTGTGAGAGGTTGCAACCAGGCGGAACAGGTGAACATTCAAAAACAATGGCCACTGGAGCAGTAGTTGCGTCAACGCTCCTCAGCGCGTCGAGTCTTACCGCCATGATGATCCTGATCGCGGCTGTCCATGACTGCACCGCTTCAGGTGAGCGGAGCGGTTGAATGGTAGACTGAGAACAGCACGTTTGCAGTGCAGTCGTGATAACGTTAGCAAATATCACAGTGGTCACATAGTGCTGGATGAATAGTCATTGAATCATTTGTCTAATATCCGTCAGTTGAGGGTGTTGAAAAGGTCTGAAAATTTTGATAGCCACGACCACCCGGGGATTACATGTATGACTTTTGTACCGGTATGATACAAGATTGGAACAGGTCACGTGATGTACCTCACAATCTAGCATGCATTGAAACAATACACCATGTAGCCATGGCAACAGGTCAGAGTGCTCACTTCAAGTGCTGAGTGCAAGTGGTCTACGTGGGAGAGCTCTGGACTTGAGTAGTGGAGAGGTTGCGCACAACAAAAATTCGTAAGATTTCGACCGCCGGGTTCGAGTAACGAAAGTTGCTACGAAGATCCGTCGCCTTGAGTACTAAAATACTGATATTTTACAACTCCCTGTCTTCGCACCCACGCGGCCGCCGCGTCCACCCAATAAGAAAAACTCTCGCGTTGTGTGCAACCTCGCGGTTTACAAATTAGCTTTTTTTCGTTAAGAATATTCGTGACGGCGCTACGCCATTTCGTTATGCGCAACCGCTCTAATGATTGGTCAGCACTCCAGACCATTCCCACATGCAAGGTACAGTCTCCAGAGCATTCCCATACACAAGGTACAGTGGGAGAAAATCAATCATGTGCACAGTATACAGTACATGGCTGTCTCGACTCAGAGTGCTTTTTTTCTACTGCGCAATCGTCAGGAGTCTCCTACTGTCGCGGACATGGAAATCCAGTCGATTGACCGGGGCCGGCGCCCTGAGCGCGCGTACAGAACGCTGCGTGCAGTGCTCATGTATTGTTGATCCGATGCGACCACGTACCAGCGTGCTGCAGCGCTGCCTGGCCTGTGTGTAGATGTGCCGCTTATCCACGGCTGCATGGCCAGCGCCCTGGAGTCGCTAGACGTGCGACCGGATTTCCATGTACCCGACAGTAGTATGCATGTATGGGTAGAAGCAAGGGATTCTTACTGGAGACATGCTGATTTTCTTCCACTGCACCTGTATCATTACCGTAATATTCGGCAATACTGACCACCAAGGCGCTTAGTAGATGTTAGTTGGCGAGCCCTTCAATTTCAAATTTGATAAAGAATCCTCACAGAAAGCCCTGAAATAATGTGGTGCTTATTTCAGACGTCGGTGCTGACGCGTCGGTGCTGACACCTTTTCTTTCGAAATTGGATACGCCTCCAATGTTTTCCTTATTTCAGACGGGTGGTATTAAAAGATCGGCGCCAGTTTCCAAAACTATGGTGAGCAATAGGGTCAAGACCTGCAAGCGGTGCATTTGCGGTTCATGCGCGCCCTGACGTGCGTTTTAAAGACTTTTTATTATTATTATTATTATTATTTGTCTCTTTCCCTCAAACTAGTGAAGATATTATTATCTATTATTATCTATTATAAGCATTCCCGCGTTGAAGTGTAGGAGCAGTATGCTGCGTCCACAGCTTCGCTTATGCAGAATGGCTTGGGTGAGAGGAGAGGGGAGAGAAAGGAACAAGGCAACCAACATCTATGAAAAAGGTCACGATAACATGAAGAGAACCAACCTACATATGCATGATTGCACAAGAATGGAGACGACAAATGGCTATAATCAGTGTGCCACGAAACCGGTACACAGGAGATCTGTCGACAATGTAACGAAACATAAAACTCAGTTACTCAATACAGGTTCCACTAAATTACAAGAGAACAACGCTTAGAATTGCCGCTAAATTATCGCAAGTGTAGAGAACGAGTCCAATACAAATGAAAACCATGAACAGACTGTCCCGAAGTTAATTGGGGAACAATTTTTTCTACTTGCTGACACTGACGCTGACGGAACACGAATTTGAGTTGAATACTCACGAAGTCTTGTACTTGTACATCATTATGCGCCGGTGTTGTGGAGTAAGCAGGTACGACAGTCACCGATCCAGCCTCAGCTCCGCGCTCGCTTCAGCAGGATGTTGCCCGCGTTTGCTTTGCCTCCACACGGATAGACGACCAGCGCAGAGTCCCGCAGCTCCGTGGCCGTAAGGTCTTGACATTGGCCGTTAGTGCCGTCAAGTCCCAGTCCACCTCTCACAGCAAGCCGCTCTATGAAAATCTTTCTCTCTCCATTGGAGAGAGAGGAGAGTTGCTACTTCTCCATCCAAACAGCCCCCCCCCCCCCCCCACACACACACACACCCATTTAAAGACCTAACGCAGCTTAATGAGTACACTCTTGAGCCGTCACAACTGGACACACAGGAACACATCATGCACAATCACACTCTGCTTATTGACATTGGGCTGCTTTGAAGATTCCAAAGGGATAACGGTAGGATGTGCAAGATGCACCTATTTGTGTGTTCAGAAAATCGAGATGCTGGGAATACCCGGGCGACTAGAGGTGGGACGGTAGTTGCAAGTTCAATTATTTTTCTTTGCCTGTATGTTGATCTGTTGTCTACGTGACATGCAGTGTGTTCCTCCAATCCTTGCCAGCATGACGGCCGCTGTATCGAATACACCCAGGGTGGTGGCTACTACGGATGTGACTGTAAGGGCGGTTACTATGGCGTCCGCTGTGAGGACTACTCCGCTACACGTAAGTATTAGTTGCCATGGTAGCCCAACAAGTAGGAATACTAGGTAATGTCGGGGTTGTTGTACCCAGGGGCGCAGCTGGTCCCCCTGTGAGGGAGGGGGGGGGGGTGCACGGCCGCATACATGTACATGTGTAGGATGGCTGGTGCATGTCATGTATGGTCATTATGTGCATGCTGATCCTGCAATGTAGGTCGAAATTACCAGGGGGGGGGGGGGGGGGTGCACGTACCCCCCCCCCCCCCTGTGCTCCATGTGTGCTATGCGCCTGGTTGCACCACTTCTCTTGTTCCAGTAGCTATGCACTAGTCTAGTAAAACCTGCCCATAGAGACGATTTACACAACGACAGTGCATCCCGCTGGAAAGTGGATCACGTGATCCCGAGAGCTTGCCGTGACACGGGAAAAACGAAAATCGATTCACATGGTAGGATGCACGTACAGTACCTGTAGTACAAAACAGTCCACGAAATGGCAGAGTATTATGCATCCCCTCCCCCCCCCCCCCCCCCCCCCCCCCCCGCCCTCCTCACGGTACCGGGATCGCACTCGGATAGCGTGCGGGATACGTTCGCGCCAAAATTAGAGTTCATAGGATTGCATCTCCATGGCAGCATCACGCACGGAATGAATCCTGCCATTGTGTAGATCAACTCTAACCTGCCCTAACCAGAGGCCCTTGGTGCAGCGGAAACTTTCCTGATATGGTTGGATTCCGTTTGATCCAGGGATGCATGTTCAACCTGCAGCACTTTGGTGCATGAACGTTTTTTTCGGTTAATACAGGATTTCACTTGGTACAGGGTCAGCTGTACAAGGACACAGCTAAGCATTCCGCTGACTTTGGCGGTCAACTCTCTCTTAGGCCGTTATCACACTGCGTTTGTTTGAGTCGCGTTTGCGTCTGCGTTTGCGTTTGAGACTAGAAAACGCAAGACGTGATATCATACTATACTTGTGATTTTCAGCGTTTGCGTCAAAATCTGTGCGCGCGGGAAAATACAAAAATGTGGGGAATCGATCTCCAGGTACTAGGTGGCCGTGGATGTTGAATATATTTTCCTGAGATCGAGAAGTGTTCTGTTTTTCCTCCTATGTCCGTTGTCAGTGGTGCTGGGGGAATGGGAGTCGATGGGAAGACTGCAGCCGTTGCGTTGCCTGTGTTGGGGTGGCAGTTTGTTTGTTTTGTTTGTTTGTTCTGTTGTTGAGGCCGCGGGACATCGTCCAGCTAGGCTAGCCGCCGCCAACTAGCCAGCGCAACCTCAGCCACGAGCTCGCATCAGCTCCATGCCTCGCGAATCCAAAATCAATCAATCAGTACATGTAGTAGAAGTACCCTCGCCGGCCTCAGCAACTAGATGGAAATGAAGATTTGAAAAGCACACTTGAGAATCACTTGAAAACACTCAAAAACAATGCAGGAAGTGCTGCGATAAAGAAAGTCTCATCTGCGTTTACGCGATTCGGTTTTGACCACCCCCCTCCCCCCCCCCCCCCCCCTGGTTTGCGTCTGCGGCTGTGCGTCTGGAAACCAACGCGCTCGCGATAACGTCACGTGATGGCATTTCCTAGGCGACCGTCAAAAACCGAAGAAAACGCAGACAAAAATGCGACTTTTGAACGCAGTGTGATAAGGGCCTTAACAATGTGCTCACACGTCCTTTGTCACTTGCAATGCCGCCATACCGGTAGTGTGGTAGATCTACACGTGTCGCGCGTAGCGAAAATATCAGTGGTGCATATAAGCCTGGTTTGCATACAAGCCTTGTTTGCATTAAAGCCTGATGCAGAAAGCGGCTTATATGCTTATAAGCCCGGCTTTTATCCGCGACTTTACGGTACTTCAAACTTAATGATTATTTTGCATACCTCCTGTCAAAACAGGGTTTTTTTACTTGAAACCATGCACCCAATTCATAAAACAAAAAAGAAGTAGGAAATGACAAAACAAGAGACTAACAAGACATTGACTGAATGGGGCTGCAAATGCAACGCAGCAGTGGTGATGGGGTCCTGCAGGCTCCGCCGATCAATGGTCTCGGCATCCGCGCCTACTTCACGCATCAGAAGTTATGCATGTATTTCAGTGCATGATTGTGTTTCTAACGGCATGAATAATGGTATGGAACAAATCTGCTTGTGCTTGTCTAGAAATTGAATTAAATTGCTCGCCCCAAATCACTGTGCTGTTTCTTGCTGCTGCTGCTGCTGCTGCTGCTGCTGCTGCTGTATTTGTTGTTGTTGCTGCTGCTGTCAGGGGCGTGGGCGGGAATTTGACGAAGGGGGTTGCCCCCCCCCCCCCACCATGTACAAGAACATGTATAATCAATCAGTCTATCACTCATGTGCATGCGTGCATGACTTATTTCTAGGCGTGAGGCTATGGCGCGCACCACCGTGCCCCCATCTGCGTACGCCCCTGGCTGCTGCTGCTGCTGTTGTTGTTGTTGTTGTTGTTGTTGTTGTTGTTATTGCTGTTCTTGTTCTTGTTCCTGCTGCTGCTGCTGCCGCTGATGTTGCCATCGTCATCAACAGTCTCGTCCCTGTTGTTATTGTTGTTGCGTTCTTAGTGGATCCGTGCAAGCTTAGCGACAACACATCACCGTGCACGTACCGTGGCAAATGCGTGGCCCAGTTTGGCAACAATTTCACCTGTACCTGCTACTTGTTCTGGACGGGTATTAACTGTAGAATTTACAACGGTGAGTTTGACCACTGGCGGGGTTTACACAAAACACACACACACCGTTTGACGTCACAAAGCAGCAAGGCAGCGATGAGACATATGGAATGGCAGGAGTGGGGGAGAGGCAGGGGCAGCTTGACCGACAACAGGGTGTCGGCTTCATTGCAACCCAAGCGCTCCACATACATTGAAAGTAGCACACGCGTGCTCACTAACGTCAAACACACTATAGGGCTTGAAAGTGATGACGTCAAAACGGTCAGGGAGTAGTAAGTTCACGTCAGATTTCTACTTTTGGATCCACTAAGGTGACTTTGCTATTGCCTCAGTATGTGGGTGCGTAGCAAACCACTCATGTCGTACGCAGGTGTGACTTTTATTTCGCCACCAGTTGTCACCCCACCCCCATTAGAAAACCCAGTCAATTTCACCGGTTATATCACCTTGCTGTGAGTAAGACCGCTTGAAATGTGCTTGGATCCATGCAAAACTGGATCCAGTTTTCGGATTTTTGAAATTGTTGCTTTGCTGCGATGTAGCACTTTCAAACCCTATAGCAGCTACATCCAGCAAACAAAACTTTTCAAATCGTTTGAGAACCCCAATGCAGGTGCTCCCCCAGTATTCATAACCAGGCTCAGGGCCAGCTCCTGACGGGCCATGCGGCCCCTAGGTCGGCTACATTGGCATTCAATTCCCAGTGCCCAATTCATAATCCTAGGCCAGGAAGGCCGCAGCTCAATAGCACCATGCATAGTATCTAGTTGTTGCAAGTGTCTGTATGCTGGTGTGTGTGTGTGTGCTATCTGTATGCTTGTTTGTGTGCGTGCTGTCTTTATGCTTGTGTGGGCGTGCTGTCTGTATGCTTGTGTGTGTGGGTGTGTGCGTGCTGCCTGTATGCTTGTGTGTGTGTGTGCTGTCTGTATGCTTGTGTGTGTGGGTGTGTGCGTGCTGCCTGTATGCTTGTGTGTGTGTGTGCTGTCTGTGTGCCTGTATGCTTGTGTGTGCGTGCTGTCTGTATGCTTGTGTGTGTGCGTGCTGTCTGTGTGCCTGTATGCTTGTGTGTGTGCGTGCTGTCTGTGTGCCTGTATGCTTGTGTGTGCGTGCTGTCTGTATGCTTGTGTGTGTGCGTGCTGTCTGTGTGCCTGTATGCTTGTGTGTGTGCGTGCTGTCTGTGTGCCTGTATGCTTGTGTGTGCCTGTATGCTTGTGTGTGTGTGTGTGTGCGTGCGTACTGAAGTACTGTAAAAGCAGAAATTTTCGGTGGTGTTTTATTTTCGGTACCTTCGGTGCCGACAATTTTTACCGAAAATAAAACGCACCGAAAATTTCGGTAGAACCGGTACTGTATACAGGTAGTATTAGTACGCTTACCTGGAAACCGGGTTTTACCGAAAATTTCCCTCCACCGAACCGCCGATTTTGGAGAATACCGAAAATATTACACCACCGAAAAATTCTGCTTTTACAGTACATGACAGGACCCTAGTACTCAGTCTTGTTCACGAGTTTTCTTTCCCTGCTCCTCCCAGGCACTCCCGGCTGTGATCCTGACAATCTGCCACCAGCCTCTCTGCGCTGCAGTGGTCATGGACAATGCTTAGACTACCTGGGGTGTAACTGTGATGTTGGTTACCATGGCAATCAGTGCCAGTTCCGTGACCACAACTCTACAACAGCACAGCAAGAACATGCTACACTGAGTGAGTTGCATGGCGTCTGTCTACGTGTCTCTCTTTCTTCGTCTGTGTGTGTGTGTGTGTGTGTGTCTCTCTCTCTCGCTCTCTCTTTCCCTTTCTTTGTCTGTCTCTATCTATCGCTCTTTCACTCTTTCCCTCAAACCCTCATTTTCTCTATCTATCTATCTATCTACTCAATCTGCGGACAGCATGCTGTTTCGTTCTTTGTGTACTCATCAGCGCAGCACAGAGAAAATGAAGCCAAACCTCTATCTATGTATCTCTCATTTTCTCTCTCTCTCTCTCATTCTCACTCTCTCACTCATTCTCATTATTGTGCATGTACATATTATGTGCTAATGTGAGCAAATACTGAGCGCATTCGATTACACACATTTCAGTCAATTCTACAATAATTAGTTATGGTAGATGTACGGTTCAATTTCACAAATTCCGTCGTCAGAATCGACGGAATCCAATTCCGTCGATTCTGAAGAGAGGGCAGAATTGCTAATTCTCCCGCTAGAATTGACGCACTCGACGTACATGTTATGCTAGGTCCACGTGTGCGCGAAGGTGTACAGGATCCCACGTAATCCCCTTATACGATTTTTACGTGTAGTCGTTCGTTTACATGGCCGCAATCTGTTCATCCTGTTCATTCGAGAATTATATATTTTATATAGTATGGGGAATTGTGTGTTGCTCCCTACGTGGGAGCTTGTGTTATTCCTGGATGGCAGTCATGAGTCAGTCAAGTGAGAATTCAAGTCGGCAGGAATAGCGCAAGCTCCCACGTAGGGAGCAACACACAATTCCCCAATTATCGCCGAAGTCGCACCAACCTCTTCTTCATATTATAATTATTATTATTTTGATATTATATTTTCAAGGATTCTCCAGAGGAAATATGGATGCCTATCAAAGGGGGTCTCCTGGGGAGATGAAGTGAAGGATTATAGAATCTGGGTCCAGAATGTTTACTCGAAAGTGCCCATTCCTTTTTGACAGGATTGGTTGTGCAAAGGATTACGTTGATACAATATTTATGTTGCTGATGGTTTCTTTGATTTTATATTGAGAAAGCACAAGCCATGACTCATTAAGAACTCACATGGAGAGCCAAGGAAAACTTTTTTGTAACATGGAGATTGTGGGCACATCAGTTTTGTGCTAGATTGTGCACGTCTGACTGTTCAAAATCTAGTTTAGTTCCTGGACTCAATCCCATAACTTGTGCCCACAATCTCCATGTTACATGACTCATTAGTCTTTTGATTTTGATCTTTTTTCCAGCTCCCGCCGCTTCAGCACCACTCTCAACGAAAACAGTATTCATCGTTGTCGGAGTCCTTGTCGGTTGGCTTCTGTTCATCGCGGTGCCAATTTTCATTGGGCTTCTCAATCGGAGAAGGCAATCTCGTCGTCAAGCGTCCCAGTCTGTTGCTGCTGAGCGCTCTGGCAGGAACACTCTATCAGTGACCATGGCAACGAGTGGACAACTGCCGACCGTCGCTTCGCTCCCAAACCGGACAGACCCGCCGTCGTACACCGCGTCTGTTACTGCGGCAACAGGTGCGGCGTCGGTCGTAATGAGTAAGTCGTCGCTTGCTGATGTCCGCCCAGTGTCCCTGACAATGCCCTGCACTGACCTACCAGCGGATGATGACTCCCCCATGATGGACACGGGCACTGCAGATACCCAACCATTGCTGACTGCTGAATGCTAAACCAACTGCATATTGTCCATCCACAGCAACTTGTGAGGGATTTCCCCCTGCTCAGAGGCTCTATCATGTTTAGGCAGTTCTATAATGTGTGTGTGTGTGTGTGTGTGTGTGTGTGTGTGTGTGTGTGTGTGTGTGTGTGTGTGTGTGTGTGTGTGTGTGTGTGTGTGTGTGTGTGTGTGTGTATGTGTGTGTGTTCTGCGCGCACTGTTGGGAATTCGAGGAAAGGCGCCGGTTGCTTGCTTGCGAAGGCCGGTGGAGGGTGTGACTTCTGGTTGTTTGATGACACGTTGAGAGAATCTGAAATTTTATTTACTTTTAAAAGTCCGATAATAACTAGTGGGGAGCAATGTACTTATAATGTTCATCTTTCATTCGTATGATCGGCTCCCTCGCCTTACCTGCTCTTCTTGCTATTCGTTTGTGCGAGAATGCATGACGGACGATATAGGTTGTGTGGACATTCTTCTGCCTGCTGAGTATTGCATACATTTTACCATTGGCGTATCTTATTGAAATTGGTTTTTTGCCATTCCCATTGACTTCGACCAACCTACGAGCTCGTAAGTTGTTTCCAGCCAGCGTTCGTACAGTTTCTTCCTTTTCACCGATGAGAGCTGGTCTCTTCTTAGTCATTTCATGTCACGAATACTTTGCAAGTGAAGCCGTTTCTTGCCAAAAGCGTTGTCTGGTCTCACCAGTCATTTAGGTCTGCTTCCCACAGTGATCCATGCAGCCACTCAATCCGTATCACTTGGTCACTTGGTCATGTGACACCTTTGTGAAAGTGATCGTTTGGTTACTACATGCACGTGATCACTCAGTCATATGGTCACGTGACCAAGTGATCATAATTATGTCATGATGATCACTTGACCACGCATCATGCGATCTTTTGGTCATGTGATACCGTGGTCATGTGATCATTAAGATCAAGTAACCAAATGTTGGTAACTAACTTGATCACTTGGTGATCACCGCCTGGGTCATCTGATGACTTGTTGGAGTACAATCATGTGATCAATGATCAATTCGTCCCACTAATCCCCCCCCCTATCCGACTTGATCATGTGATTACCCCTTTTGACCCTGGCTCTACCTTGCATACTCTATGCACAGCACTGTGGCATCAATATGTAACGTACAGATTGTACGTCTTTGGCTAATCATGGAAATTTAATTCCGGTAAATTAAATTTCGAGTCATGACTTCATCCAAGTGGCGCATATCGAATCGTTTGTTTTGGCATTTTAGGTACTGCACACATTATAGCCAAAACAGGTGCAAAGGCGGGCACTATGAGATTGCAGGTGGTACATGGTCACCACACCATGTACCGATACGCTCTGGCACCATCACCACACCATGTACCGATACGCCCTGGCACCATCATCACACCCCAGATGTGCTGGCTACATGTACGTTCCTGGCCTGGATCAGACAACCCCTGCTGCATGGGGGGTCACACCCCGTAATAACAATCAGGGACAAGTGCAGTGTCCCTGATATTAAGGGAGAGGCATAACACCCATCATGCAAATTTGGGAGGGGTAGAAAAATCTCCGCTAATTATCGGGGAAGATTTCAATGCCTCCGAATACAAAGGCAAGCAGCGGAGAGTTTGGACTCCGTAACAGATATACCGTTATCATAATCAGCTCTAGAGGCCCTGGAGCACTTGTGTACATGGATCCTCATGGACTGTTACTAGTGTTAGTCATAAGGTCGTTAGATGCAGAATATGCCCCTGTATGGTGGTGCCCATCGAGGTCGTTTCGCTAATCCAGAGTGTGCGACGGGCGTTTCACCGACAGCCCAGCACACGTTGCAGCAAAATCACTCAACTGCACGCACGCACACGTACACATGCACCAACGCATAAACAGCACATGTGCACCACTCGTGTCCAGTGGTGTCGTTGCGGTAGTGGTTCACACGGGGTCTTGCACAGAACTCTCTGATCACCACGAACCAACAGTGCTATCACAGTTCCAAAGTAGAGGATGGTGAATGATCGATGAAAAACCGATCAAATTATTTGCAGGAAAAAGGCAAGATTAAATAAAGTGACCAATGACGAGCGCAAAAGGAACAACTCCAGAAACTTCCTGGCAAGTATAATAGCGTTATGAATGATAATTATGCATTCTTCAAGGTATAAAGTAGTTGAGCTCAAGTTCAATCCACTGCATATCTCTCAAGGATCAAGGCAGACTACGGTGACGTCATAATGACATCATAATAGAAGCACCACTGTTGTCACGGACACACAGTCTGGCCATTGGAAAGAAACAATAGAATTCGTGTGATAGGGCCTGACTCAGTGACTGCAGTCGACTGTGGAACGGCTTTCAGACGAGCAAAGACATGTTTGCAGGGCAATTAAAATTAATCATCTCACAATGATGTACTCACACTGTATGTGAACACATGAAACTCAGTTCGCAAAAAAATAATAATAATAATTAATCACGGTTCGCGTGAGACTCGGCTGAAGGCCGAATGTGAAAATAGTTATACTGCTACGTTGAATGACACACAATGCTCTACTGTTGTCAACACTGCCACACCGGCATGTCACTGCCTCCTGGTACAGAAGACTTGTCTTAAAACTCTCTAATCCTAGGCATGAACTGTACTTGACCAGCTCGTAACGTTAGAACGTTTCATTCAGGATTCCAGACGAGCATGTTGATCGACGGGAATCACAGCTTTCATCATCTGCAGACCTTCACCAATGCTGGCGAGTTCTCTCGATAGACCGTTGTAGAGCTTGATGAACCCGTCAGTGCCCTGCGGTTCCACAATGCACAACACGTCTCTGTTGTGCCTCTCTTTGCTGTGTGTGCTGCGGACATCCTCCAGACGATGTACTTGGTCAAGAGTCAGGAGACCCTCACGCTGAACAGCAAGTCTCAAATCAACCGCTTCCAGACTGCAGAGCCACGGGTGAATGTCACGCACATAGCTGATGGACTGGAATCCAGTTTGATCTACAGGAGAGAGAGAGAGAGAGAGAGAGAGAGAAGAGAGAGAGAGAGAGAGAGAGAGAGAGAGAGAGAGAGAGAGAGAGAGAGAGAGAGAGAGAGAGAGAGAGAGAGAGAGAGAGAGAGAGAGAGAGAGAGAGAGAGAGAGAGAGAGAGAGAGAGAGAGAGAGAGAGAGAGAGAGAGAGAGAGAGAGAGAGAGAGAGAGAGAGAGAGAGAGAGAGAGAGAGAGAGAGAGAGAGAGAGAGAGAGAGAGAGAGAGAGAGAGAGAGAGAGAGAGAGAGAGAGAGAGAGAGAGAGAGAGAGAGAGAGAGAGAGAGAGAGAGTGGAAGAACCAACCAGATAGACAGAGAGACAGAGAAAAGACAATTGACACACATGTAAACTATAAACACCACACAACCATAAATACGAATACACCAACCCCGAAAACGCTACCGCATTGTGCACCTTGACGAGTTACCGTGTATTGTTTGCAGATCCCATCGCTGGTGATAACCACATTCAGTAGTATAGTACAACATGTCATGGGGACTACTCTGAAAAGGCGACCACCTGTCCTAGAGGACAACAACATCCAGGACCAAGGGCTAACACTTCCACTGACAGCACCCGGGATACAGTGAACCCTGTGTAAACCGACCGATCACAAGAACCCTGTGTAAACCGACCGATCACAAGAACCCTGTGTAAACCGACCGATCACAAGAACCCTGTGTAAACCGACCGATCACAAGAACCCTGTGTAAACCGACCGATCACAAGAACCCTGTGTAAACCGACCGATCACAAGAACCCTGTGTAAACCGACCGATCACAAGAACCCTGTGTAAACCGACCGATCACAAGAACCCTGTGTAAACCGACCGATCACAAGAACCCTGTGTAAACTGACCGATCACAAGAACCCTGTGTAAACCGACCGATCACAAGAACCCTGTGTAAACCGACCGATCACAAGAACCCTGTGTAAACCGACCGATCACAAGAACCCTGTGTAAACCGACCGATCACAAGAACCCTGTGTAAACCGACCCATCACAAGAACCCTGTGTAAACCGACCAATCACAAGAACCCTGTGTAAACCGACCGATCACAAGAACCCTGTGTAAACCGACCGATCACAAGAACCCTGTGTAAACCGACCGATCACAAGAACCCTGTGTAAACCGACCGATCACAAGAGCCCTGTGTAAACCGACCGATCACAAGAGCCCTGTGTAAACCGACCGATCACAAGAGCCCTGTGTAAACTGACCGATCACAAGAACCCTGTGTAAACCGACCGATCACAAGAACCCTGTGTAAACCGACCGATCACAAGAACCCTGTGTAAACCGACCGATCACAAGAACCCTGTGTAAACCGACCGATCACAAGAACCCTGTGTAAACCGACCGATCACAAGAACCCTGTGTAAACCGACCGATCACAAGAACCCTGTGTAAACCGACCGATCACAAGAACCCTGTGTAAACCGACCGATCACAAGAACCCTGTGTAAACCGACCGATCACAAGAACCCTGTGTAAACCGACCGATCACAAGAACCCTGTGTAAACTGACCGATCACAAGAACCCTGTGTAAACCGACCGATCACAAGAACCCTGTGTAAACCGACCGATCACAAGAACCCTGTGTAAACCGACCGATCACAAGAACCCTGTGTAAACCGACCGATCACAAGAACCCTGTGTAAACCGACCAATCACAAGAACCCTGTGTAAACCGACCAATCACAAGAACCCTGTGTAAACCGACCGATCACAAGAACCCTGTGTAAACCGACCGATCACAAGAACCCTGTGTAAACCGACCGATCACAAGAACCCTGTGTAAACCGACCGATCACAAGAGCCCTGTGTAAACCGACCGATCACAAGAGCCCTGTGTAAACCGACCGATCACAACAGCCCTGTGTAAACTGACCGATCACAAGAACCCTGTGTAAACCGACCGATCACAAGAACCCTGTGTAAACCGACCGATCACAAGAACCCTGTGTAAACCGACCGATCACAAGAACCCTGTGTAAACCGACCGATCACAAGAACCCTGTGTAAACCGACCAATCACAAGAACCCTGTGTAAACCGACCAATCACAAGAACCCTGTGTAAACCGACCGATCACAAGAACCCTGTGTAAACCGACCGATCACAAGAACCCTGTGTAAACCGACCGATCACAAGAACCCTGTGTAAACCGACCGATCACAAGAGTCCTGTGTAAACCGACCGATCACAAGAGCCCTGTGTAAACCGACCGATCACAAGAGCCCTGTGTAAACCGACCGATCACAAGAGCCCTGTGTAAACCGACCGATCACAAGAACCCTGTGTAAACCGACCGATCACAAGAACCCTGTGTAAACCGACCGATCACAAGAGCCCTGTGTAAACCGACCGATCACAAGAACCCTGTGTAAACCGACCGATCACAAGAACCCTGTGTAAACCGACCGATCACAAGAACCCTGTGTAAACCGACCGATCACAAGAACCCTGTGTAAACCGACCGATCACAAGAACCCTGTGTAAACCGACCGATCACAAGAACCCTGTGTAACCGACCGCTCACAAGAACCCTGTGTAAACCGACCAATCACAAGAACCCTGTGTAAACCGACCGATCACAAGAACCCTGTGTAAACCGACCGATCACAAGAACCCTGTGTAAACCGACCGATCACAAGAACCTTGTGTAAACCGACCAATCACAAGAACCCTGTGTAAACCGACCGATCACAAGAACCTTGTGTAAACCGACCGATCACAAGAACCTTGTGTAAACCGACCGATCACAAGAACCCTGTGTAAACCGACCGATCACAAGAACCCTGTGTAAACCGACCGATCACAAGAACCCTGTGTAAACCGACCGATCACAAGAACCCTGTGTAAACCGACCAATCACAAGAACCCTGTGTAAACCGACCGATCACAAGAGCCCTGTGTAAACCGACCGATCACAAGAACCCTGTGTAAACCGACCGATCACAAGAACCCTGTGTAAACCGACCGATCACAAGAACCCTGTGTAAACCGACCGATCACAAGAACCCTGTGTAACCGACCGCTCACAAGAACCCTGTGTAAACCGACCAATCACAAGAACCCTGTGTAAACCGACCGATCACAAGAACCCTGTGTAAACCGACCGATCACAAGAACCCTGTGTAAACCGACCGATCACAAGAACCTTGTGTAAACCGACCAATCACAAGAACCCTGTGTAAACCGACCGATCACAAGAACCTTGTGTAAACCGACCGATCACAAGAACCTTGTGTAAACCGACCAATCACAAGAACCCTGTGTAAACCGACCGATCACAAGAACCCTGTGTAAACCGACCGATCACAAGAACCCTGTGTAAACCGACCGATCACAAGAACCCTGTGTAAACCGACCGATCACAAGAACCTTGTGTAAACCGACCAATCACAAGAACCCTGTGTAAACCGACCGATCACAAGAACCTTGTGTAAACCGACCGATCACAAGAACCCTGTGTAAACCGACCGATCACAAGAACCCTGTGTAAACCGACCGATCACAAGAACCTTGTGTAAACCGACCAATCACAAGAACCCTGTGTAAACCGACCGATCACAAGAACCCTGTGTAAACCGACCGATCACAAGAACCCTGTGTAAACCGACCGATCACAAGAACCTTGTGTAAACCGACCGATCACAAGAACCCTGTGTAAACCGACCGATCACAAGAACCCTGTGTAAACCGACCGATCACAAGAACCTTGTGTAAACCGACCAATCACAAGAACCCTGTGTAAACCGACCGATCACAAGAACCCTGTGTAAACCGACCGATCACAAGAACCCTGTGTAAACCGACCGATCACAAGAACCCTGTGTAAACCGACCGATCACAAGAACCCTGTGTAAACCGACCGATCACAAGAACCCTGTGTAAACCGACCGATCACAAGAACCCTGTGTAAACCGACCGATCACAAGAACCCTGTGTAAACCGACCAATCACAAGAACCCTGTGTAAACCGACCAATCACAAGAACCCTGTGTAAACCGACCGATCACAAGAACCCTGTGTAAACCGACCGATCACAAGAACCCTGTGTAAACCGACCGATCACAAGAACCCTGTGTAAACCGACCGATCACAAGAGCCCTGTGTAAACCGACCGATCACAAGAGCCCTGTGTAAACCGACCGATCACAAGAGCCCTGTGTAAACTGACCGATCACAAGAACCCTGTGTAAACCGACCGATCACAAGAACCCTGTGTAAACCGACCGATCACAAGAACCCTGTGTAAACCGACCGATCACAAGAACCCTGTGTAAACCGACCGATCACAAGAACCCTGTGTAAACCGACCAATCACAAGAACCCTGTGTAAACCGACCAATCACAAGAACCCTGTGTAAACCGACCGATCACAAGAACCCTGTGTAAACCGACCGATCACAAGAACCCTGTGTAAACCGACCGATCACAAGAACCCTGTGTAAACCGACCGATCACAAGAGCCCTGTGTAAACCGACCGATCACAAGAGCCCTGTGTAAACCGACCGATCACAAGAGCCCTGTGTAAACCGACCGATCACAAGAGCCCTGTGTAAACCGACCGATCACAAGAACCCTGTGTAAACCGACCGATCACAAGAACCCTGTGTAAACCGACCGATCACAAGAGCCCTGTGTAAACCGACCGATCACAAGAACCCTGTGTAAACCGACCGATCACAAGAACCCTGTGTAAACCGACCGATCACAAGAACCCTGTGTAAACCGACCGATCACAAGAACCCTGTGTAAACCGACCGATCACAAGAACCCTGTGTAAACCGACCGATCACAAGAACCCTGTGTAACCGACCGCTCACAAGAACCCTGTGTAAACCGACCGATCACAAGAACCCTGTGTAAACCGACCGATCACAAGAACCCTGTGTAAACCGACCGATCACAAGAACCCTGTGTAAACCGACCGATCACAAGAACCTTGTGTAAACCGACCAATCACAAGAACCCTGTGTAAACCGACCGATCACAAGAACCTTGTGTAAACCGACCGATCACAAGAACCTTGTGTAAACCGACCGATCACAAGAACCCTGTGTAAACCGACCGATCACAAGAACCCTGTGTAAACCGACCGATCACAAGAACCCTGTGTAAACCGACCGATCACAAGAACCCTGTGTAAACCGACCAATCACAAGAACCCTGTGTAAACCGACCGATCACAAGAGCCCTGTGTAAACCGACCGATCACAAGAACCCTGTGTAAACCGACCGATCACAAGAACCCTGTGTAAACCGACCGATCACAAGAACCCTGTGTAAACCGACCGATCACAAGAACCCTGTGTAACCGACCGCTCACAAGAACCCTGTGTAAACCGACCAATCACAAGAACCCTGTGTAAACCGACCGATCACAAGAACCCTGTGTAAACCGACCGATCACAAGAACCCTGTGTAAACCGACCGATCACAAGAACCTTGTGTAAACCGACCAATCACAAGAACCCTGTGTAAACCGACCGATCACAAGAACCTTGTGTAAACCGACCGATCACAAGAACCTTGTGTAAACCGACCAATCACAAGAACCCTGTGTAAACCGACCGATCACAAGAACCCTGTGTAAACCGACCGATCACAAGAACCCTGTGTAAACCGACCGATCACAAGAACCCTGTGTAAACCGACCGATCACAAGAACCTTGTGTAAACCGACCAATCACAAGAACCCTGTGTAAACCGACCGATCACAAGAACCTTGTGTAAACCGACCGATCACAAGAACCCTGTGTAAACCGACCGATCACAAGAACCCTGTGTAAACCGACCGATCACAAGAACCTTGTGTAAACCGACCAATCACAAGAACCCTGTGTAAACCGACCGATCACAAGAACCCTGTGTAAACCGACCGATCACAAGAACCCTGTGTAAACCGACCGATCACAAGAACCTTGTGTAAACCGACCGATCACAAGAACCCTGTGTAAACCGACCGATCACAAGAACCCTGTGTAAACCGACCGATCACAAGAACCTTGTGTAAACCGACCAATCACAAGAACCCTGTGTAAACCGACCGATCACAAGAACCCTGTGTAAACCGACCGATCACAAGAACCCTGTGTAAACCGACCGATCACAAGAACCCTGTGTAAACCGACCGCTCACAAGAACCCTGTTTAAACCGACCGATCACAAGAACCCTGTGTAAACCGACCGATCACAAGAACCCTGTGTAACCGACCGCTCACAAGAACCCTGTGTAAACCGACCGATCACAAGAACCCTGTGTAAACCGACCGCTCACAAGAACCCTGTGTAAACCGACCGATCACAAGAACCCTGTGTAAACCGACCGATCACAAGAACCCTGTGTAAACCGACCGCTCACAAGAACCCTGTTTAAACCGACCGATCACAAGAACCCTGTGTAAACCGACCGATCACAAGAACCCTGTGTAACCGACCGATCACAAGAACCCTGTGTAAACCAACCGATCACAAGAGCCCTGTGTAAACCGACCGATCACAAGAGCCCTGTGTAAACCGACCGATCACAAGAACCCTGTGTAAACCGACCGATCACAAGAACCCTGTGTAAACCGACCGATCACAAGAACCCTGTGTAACCGACCGATCACAAGAACCCTGTGTAAACCAACCGATCACAAGAGCCCTGTGTAAACCGACCGATCACAAGAACCTTGTGTAAACCGACCGATCACAAGAACCCTGTGTAAACCGACCGATCACAAGAACCCTGTGTAAACCGACCGATCACAAGAACCTTGTGTAAACCGACCAATCACAAGAACCCTGTGTAAACCGACCGATCACAAGAACCCTGTGTAAACCGACCGATCACAAGAACCCTGTGTAAACCGACCGATCACAAGAACCTTGTGTAAACCGACCGATCACAAGAACCCTGTGTAAACCGACCGATCACAAGAACCCTGTGTAAACCGACCGATCACAAGAACCTTGTGTAAACCGACCAATCACAAGAACCCTGTGTAAACCGACCGATCACAAGAACCCTGTGTAAACCGACCGATCACAAGAACCCTGTGTAAACCGACCGATCACAAGAACCCTGTGTAAACCGACCGCTCACAAGAACCCTGTTTAAACCGACCGATCACAAGAACCCTGTGTAAACCGACCGATCACAAGAACCCTGTGTAACCGACCGCTCACAAGAACCCTGTGTAAACCGACCGATCACAAGAACCCTGTGTAAACCGACCGCTCACAAGAACCCTGTGTAAACCGACCGATCACAAGAACCCTGTGTAAACCGACCGATCACAAGAACCCTGTGTAAACCGACCGCTCACAAGAACCCTGTTTAAACCGACCGATCACAAGAACCCTGTGTAAACCGACCGATCACAAGAACCCTGTGTAACCGACCGATCACAAGAACCCTGTGTAAACCAACCGATCACAAGAGCCCTGTGTAAACCGACCGATCACAAGAGCCCTGTGTAAACCGACCGATCACAAGAACCCTGTGTAAACCGACCGATCACAAGAACCCTGTGTAAACCGACCGATCACAAGAACCCTGTGTAACCGACCGATCACAAGAACCCTGTGTAAACCAACCGATCACAAGAGCCCTGTGTAAACCGACCGATCACAAGAGCCCTGTGTAAACCGACCGATCACAAGAACCCTGTGTAAACCGACCGATCACAAGAACCCTGTGTAAACCGACCGATCACAAGAACCCTGTGTAAACCGACCGATCACAAGAGCCCTGTGTAAACCGACCGATCACAAGAGCCCTGTGTAAACCGACCGATCACAAGAACCCTGTGTAAACCGACCGATCACAAGAACCCTGTGTAAACCGACCGATCACAAGAACCCTGTGTAAACCGACCGATCACAAGAGCCCTGTGTAAACCGACCGATCACAAGAGCCCTGTGTAAACCGACCGATCACAAGAACCCTGTGTAAACCGACCGATCACAAGAACCCTGTGTAAAACGACCGATCACAAGAGCCCTGTGTAAACCGACCGATCACAAGAACCCTGTGTAAACCGACCGCTCACAAGAGCCACAAAATGTGGTCCCTTTGTACAGGTAGTCCCCCTAGCCAGGGTTGTATTAGTAAAACCAGGCAGTTATACATGTAACGTTACACCTTAGATCTAGGACAGGTGGTCAGCTTGATGGGTTTTACTGTAGGAGTTCGTTTTAATACTGCACCATAGGTCGTAGTAGTGCGGTGTGTGCGTGGCCAAATCATGACAGAGGCTAGACTCTGCCGTGTCGTAGACCAACCCGACGTCACCATGTTGTGTAGTTTGTACACACACAGAATGTGGTGACGCAATGCTAAGGAATGCTACGACATAATCACACACACAACGGCTATGGTATGCAAAGCACACTATATTTATGTGTCCGGCAATTCCTCTGGAGCGATTGAGCACATGGATCCTCACGTTGGTGGTCCTGCTCGTGAACATGAGAATCTCTACCGGGGTTTGTCCGGCGGTCCGGGACATAATTATACTGGATACCGACGGCGACTTTGCCAGGTGGTTATGAAATGTTCCATGGGTAAGAAAAGCCCACTGTTAGTGCGTGAAGCAAGCTGATACTCCTACCATTTGGGTCAGTATTGACCATATCCTTACCTGAAGAAATAGTGTCTTGGCCGCAGGTGCGTACTAGCAGAGTGTGTTCGTCCTGTAGGCGTACAAACGCATGCATGCACATACACACACAAACACATGTACACAAATGCACACACACACACACACACAAACGCACACACACATACACACACACACACACACACACACACACACACACACACACACAAACGCACACCCACATACATACACATGCACACATAAATACACATGAGTGCAATGATGGGAGCTGGAACTTAGCCTCACCAGGTGTTGTAAGATTTGCTGGCTAGGACAGATTGTCGTGTATATGGATTCAATTCAGAATACTACGTATATGAAAGATGTTTTCTTCCCATACCAGAGCTCATGCCTTCCCATTGACTTGACTTGACAATTGACTGACTCACGGATCACAGTGGGAAAGCGCGAGCTCAAGTGTGGGGAGCAAACATCTTTCCTATGAAATCATCCCCGTGTTTTCCCGGTTGTAAGTCGACCTTTTACGACTAAAAAATAGAAGAAGAAAGGGTGGGGGTCGACTTACAACCGGGATTAGACTTAAAACCGGGAACTATCAGTATCTTACAAAATAATTACCTGCACTGCATGTACGAGTGCACCAGGTGTACACATTTTTGCCAGTTTGGTGGCATTTTTTCGAGGATTGGGACGTTATACCCTCCAATTAGGAATGTTTACATGATTTGTTGATATGTTAGTAGCAGGGAGTGGTTAGTAGTGCTTCGTTGGGTGATAACTTTAAAAAGGAGAATTGAGACCTCCGGATATGGGGGTTGACCTATAACCGGGATCGACTTACAACCGGGATAAATACGGTACCTTGCGGAAATCATTACCACTATTACAGTTATTTATAAGACTACTTTAAAGATCACAGAAGAGAGACATGCAAACATGATTGCTGCTGCTGCATTGTAAATATGTTTAACTACACAATGGGACATGTTGAGGCTAACCTGTCTCCATGACAACCAGAACTCCAGAAGTTGATTGGAGATGTTAGCTTCCGTGTCGGTAACTGGACACCATGGGATGGTTCCCGAGTGGAAACCTTCCACCACGTGGAAACATGCACTGTCGGCAGTGCGCAGGGTACACTTGTCATGACCATGGACAATACACAGTGCTCCGCTGTTGTCAACACTGCCACAGCCACATGCCGCTGCCTCCTGCAATGGAAACACCAAACGCATGCACACAAGAGCACACACATGTACACACACACACGTACACACACGTAAACGCACACACAATGTCCACACACGTACACACACACACACACACGCCTACGAACACACGAAAACCAACGCAAACCCCGCAAGCAAAAACACGCACACACGTCAAACCGCTCGCATTAGAAATGCATTTATACTCACAAGTTTTCAATGGAAAAAGGCTAAGAGGCATTGGTATTCTGGAGTAAGTGCTGTCGCGCATTCCAAGTAATACACAACTTGGTTTGTTGTACTTTATGCTCAAAATATTATCCTCATCGCGGAGCTCAGAGTTACAGGCCATAGTGCTATGAACTTGAAGTGTAGTGAACAACAAAGCAATTCAAAATCGGAGAAATACTTCCAATTATACACTGACCTTCAGCTCCAGCCGGAGATTGGTTGTAGCTTGCACGTCTGACAGCCATTGCCGAATCTGACGCAGAACTTCCGTGCCTTCACCAGGGCCGAACACTCGACTCTGGTCGATAGACTCCATTTGGATACGGATGCCACACTTCATGTAGGTTAGCAGAATCCACTCGCCTCTCTCGATGCACCAGGGTAGCCGCATACAGTGCTTGGACAGAGCAACCTTCCTCCATGCGCTGCATTTCATGCGGGCGTTGATCAGGCGCTTGTTGTGCCGTGTGATGCAGAGAACACCCAGCAGGAGAAAGATGGCGTGTGGGAAATGATCAGCATTCCGCGTCACCAGTAGAATTGCCTCCGAGACCAGCACATCGTGCAAGACAGGAATAGAGGTGAGTTCCGCCACTGCCGGCATGAGAAAGATCTCCTTGATACTGCTTGTGACCGTGTCGATCTCGCCGACGTTACACAGCACACACAGCTTCTCCATCAGCTGAAGGAAAACCTTGCGCTGCTCATCATTCTTCATTAGCTCATACAGCCGAGGAGGACTGTATTCTCGCCAAAGTCGCATTGCCATGGCAACTGTGATGAAGCCGTGCTTGTGCAAGTACAGATCTTCACGGGTGGGTGGATCTTCGGTGAAATCCTTGAGCTCGACACCCGGCTGGATTAGACAGGCTGCCAGCTTCACAACGCATGGTACTTGGACAATGACGATGTCACGCAATACGTCAGATGTCGGGTAGAACAGCGTCGTTCCAAGGCCATGGTGAAACTCTAATGCTGAGTTGAGCTCGCCAGGGTCACGCATGCTACCGACTTGGCAGAACAGTTGGAACAGTTCACGTCGTGATATCCAGGGACGTGGGAGATCCGAGTCGGTTGAGAGCTGCTGGAGTGCCAATATTTCTTGAAGGCGTGCGGCAGGTATCTTGTCTTGGTGGCGGCTCTCTTCAAGCAACTTGCTTCGTAGAGCCTTGAGCCCAGGATCTCCAGGCCAAACCTTTCCTGAGAAGGTGTTGGTCACAAACAAGATATCGTCTTCGCTGACTAAGTGCCGATACGGCGTGCCATGAAGGCTGTCCATGATCACCTTCTTTTCTTCCTCTAGCGTTCGACAGGATCCGCCATGGTTGTGACGCAGGTCGATATGGGTACCGACGATAAACACTCGCATGCTGGAGCTCTGCACCAGATGATTGAGCACTTGCAGGGAATCATGAATATACAGCAGACTTGACTGCCCAGGAACGGCAGTAGCACACTGACGATGCTCGCCATGACGACGAACCTGTACCCCGTACCAAAATAGCAAACAAGCATACGCAAGCGTGCATGCACGCACAGACATGGACACAAACAGAGTCGTGGATATAGAACGATTTACTAACGGCGGCGCACATTCGGGTGAAGAGAGCCCCAAAATGTTCACAGCTTCACCAAGTAACCTGGCTCGTGTGTTCTACTTGCCTATACTTGAAGCACACGGAATGGTACCAACCTCGCGGTTCACCCAGCCACGGTAAATATTTTTTTAACACCTTGCACACCTTTTATAAATTTTGATTCGACTTACGGTGGTCTCCGGGACTTCCATTTCCACAGAACGACTGGCATTAAACGTGATGATATAAGACGTGCGATCAGCTCCGAAAGCGATGTACTGAAGTAATCGATACGCATCCTGGCCGGCAGAATCCCAAACACATATGGCCTGAAACGATTTGCGTACTATAGTCTTGCTGACGTCGTAGATGAAACCTGGCGAATTGACTATTCTGGCAATGGTCTGAATGATGTGCGGCGGAATGGATTCCTCACAACTCGCCATGTCTACACCAGTTGCCAGGTAATCATCACCAGAAGAAGCAGCAACAGCAACATTGTGTGCAGCAAGATCAGCATGAATATCAGCTTCAAGATCAGCATCAGGCGCACAATGAACACAAACTGTATCACCGTTGATGCCCCTATAATATATAGTGACAGAATAAGCACCTAAAAGGCTTATGACAGGACAAATATAACAAGCACATATCCAACCAAAATTCGTGGCAGCACCAATAGCAGCAGCAGCTGCACTACTAGCATCAGCACCTGCAGCAGCAGCACAAACACCCGCAGCAACGGCACCAGTAGCACAACAAGCAGCTGCAAAAGCCAGAAGGTCCCGTACAGTAGTAAAAAAATTCCCAGGAATAATTCTTAACATAACAAAAGTAAAAAAAACGCTTGTAACAACAGAATGTCCAAATGTTAAAATAGCACATGCATCAGTAGAAGCCCCAGCAGCAGCAACAACAGCAGAAATAATAGCGGGATATGCCATGGTTAGACTAATACCACCACCAACAGTAATCATGGTAATAGAAGCACCAAATGCCTCATTGCTAATACAAAAAGCTCTATACTTTCTGAAACGAATATGAGCACATTGATTGATAGTGGTGGCATCAGCATAATCACTTGTACACTGTGATCTGTCAGCTAAACCTGTATCAATGGCACCCAAAATGACACCAGCAATGACAGATAAAACAACCAGTGTAACGATATATGCAGTATTTAGAGTAGGGAAAGCACACACTTGTATTACAGCACAGCAAATAGATAGTGAAAGACAGATAAATTGTTGCAAGCGAATATCATTCGTAAAATCATATGATCTTTTGAGCATGCGAACGACCGACTCAGACCGCATACCCAAGACAGCAGAGCCCCTCAGGATATCTGCAATTCTTTCTCTCAGCCCTTCTTCCCCTTGGGCGTGGCTATTGTGTAATATACTGCCGCTGTCACCGTCTATGAGAAACGTGTTGATGTCCGTTCCGATAGTGCTATTGTCAGCCCGGCCGGTGGGGATTGCCTCATCATGCAGCGAGCTCACCAAACTTGTCTTCCCCACACCAGTTTCACCAATGAGAATGACACGAAGAAATGGAACTTCGAATTCTTCTTGAAGAGCATCCCACTTCAGATACGCTGGAAACAATCTCTTCGCAGAGCGTGTCGTCCCACCGTCTACGCCATAAGCAGCAGAGCAAACACATAATGAAAACAGAATCAATAAGATCAAGGGGTAGTAAAAAAATCGGGGAGAGGATTATTATGGGGGTGGCTTTATTGGTTTTGTGTTTGTATTATGCAGCATCCCGGGTCATTTAAGACCATGGGGAGTACTGCTGTTGTATGTGAAGAAAATATAATAAGGGAGACTGAGAAAAAAGAAAGAAAAAAGAGAGAAATACTGTGAACAGCAAATCTACAATGATGCATGTACAATCTATTATACAACTAATCTGCGAGAATGAGACTTAACACAAGCAGGTACAGTAATAGCAAGAGAGCTAAATCAGAAAACAAAATCCGTTGAAAAGTAACCGTCATCAAATCTGAAATCGAGCCCTTCAGCGACACAATAGCACTGAAGGCAGCAATATAATTCTTCTCATTCAACATCAGTGAAGCACCGTCAAAACCGGTGAATGGGGGCTGATGGTATTATTGTTGTCTTTGTTATTGGCAAGTGATTAATATTACGATCATAATTATTTTCTGCAAATAGGTGCTTCAACTAACTAACTAACTAACTAATTATTATTATTATTATTATTATTATTATTCCACAATCACGATGACATAGTGCCAATAAGCATGTGATGCGGGCGATTTTAACCAGCCATGGTGGGGACAACTGAGAAAAAGAAGGAGAAGAAAAAGAGAAAACAAAGCAAAACAAAAGGAGTACTATAGGAACCTGGAGAGAGCAGTATGAAGATTAGGCTAGCAATGGAAAACAACGAATTCAATTCAATTCAACTTAGGCGTGGGCAGAATGGAACAAAATGCAGCGAAGGTGTCACGAGACTTTACCTCCTGCGGAAGCCGAGACCAGTGAGAATAGGACTTGAACAGAGGGGATTTTAAAAGGATCGATGATCTAGCAAGTGGGAAATGGAGAGAACATCTAGTACGCGAGCTATTATTGAACCAGCTTAAATGCGCAAGTGCATGAGGAGGAGCAAGTTGAAGCTTAATACGGTGAATGAATTTGCATGCCGAGTGGGGAAAGCGTTCTGAGAGAGGGGAAGAGGAAGCCAAAATGTATAGCGTCTGAGAGGAGGTCAGAGGGGGCATGCGAAATATTAATCGAAGTAATTTACGGTGGGTGACTTCTAACCGATGCATAAGAGCGGAGGATAGACCGAAAGACCAAACGAGAGAGCAGTAATCAAACAAAGGAAGAACATAAGAGTGATAAATTTGTATTCGACAACCATGGTGTAGATGGGAGATGTGAGGAGAAATGCAGCCTATCGCGGAGCAAACCCGCTTTTCAATATAGGTTACGTGCGAATCCCACGACAAGTGTTCATCAAGAAATATACCCAGGTGTTTGTGATTTTTAACAATGTTGATAGCAATGGGATCATCAGGGAAAGTAAAAAGCCGAGTCGTAAAGAGGGTGAGGTCAATGGAGGGTCGTGGGGGGGGGATACAAAGGATTGCCGTTTTCGACACATTGGGGCGAAGTTTCCACTTCGACATCCAGCGCACAACTTGATTAATGTGATACTGTAGCGAGTCGCAGGCTTGTAATAAGCCTGGCTCGGTTATATGGAGCGCTGTATCGTCCGCGTAGAGTGAGGTATGATCCAAACCTGCCAAATCATTAACGTATACTATGAACAATAGAGGCCCCAAGATAGAGCCCTGGGGCACTCCAGAGTGGACTGTTAGAGGGGCGGACAGGGCATGTCCAATTCGGACACTCTGTCGACGTTCAGTGAGATAGCTGGTGAGCTACGCCAAACGCTGCTAACTTATGGAGGAGACCCCTTGTCCAGACAGTGTCAAATGCTTTGCTCAGGTCGAAAAACATAGGAGGCTAAATTGCTTCTGATCCTTGCATTCATATAGCTTCTGCACAAGCCTCAGCAACTGCCAGGCGGTCGAATCGCCTCGCCGAAATCCAGACTGTGACGGTTGCAGGACCGGGTTTACATGTTGGTATAAGTGGCCAAATGCCACACGTTCACAGAGCTTTGAAATGGTGGAAAGGAGTGAAATCGGCCGGTAATTGGATGCAGACAGTTTACTGCCTTTATTCTTGTAAATAGGCACAACCACAGCTGCCTTCCAGACATCAGGGAAGATTCCGGTGGCGAAGGACTGGTTGAAAACTAGGCTGAGAGGGATAGCTATACTAGGAGACAGGGCTTTTAGGAGTTCATGGGATATGCCATCTGCACCTGCCGCCTTCTTGGGCTTTAGGCGACTGATGTGTTGGGCAATGGCGGTGGGAGTAGTGCTAAAAGAGGATAGTGCTGGGAGCCCGTGGTATGGAATACCAGGAAGAGACCATGCAGGGTCATCCGGTGTTCCAAAGCTGATGAATTGGCGATTCAGAGCATTGGCAATCTGGGTAGGGTCGTTGTGTACAGTGTTATTTTCATGGAGTTCAGTGATGATAGGGTTTCCAACAGGGGTCGGCGAACGAAGCTGCTTAACAAACTTGAACAAACTAGGGGTGGATGCAATAATGGATGAGGGGTTAGTGCTAATAGAGGACACATACTGGCGGTGAGCCTCTCTAGATAGGATTCGTGCTCTGTTACGTTCGCACTTGTAATGCTCGTGATTCCTAGGGGTAGGATACTTGCGATACAAGCTGTATGAGTCTCGCTTCCTCTTCAGCTGAGCTTTAACAGCACGTGTCAGCCACGGGGGACTTGGTGTACGTCGTCTAGGGGCTGAAGAGCGCGACCGGGTGGGTAGGAAAGCGGAGCATAGACCATGAAGGATGTCATAAAATGCTGGAGCAGTACGGTTTGGATCTCCAAGCTTCAACTGGAGAGCAGCATGCCAGTTCACATTAGCAATGGATTCATTTAGAGCAACTAGGTGAGTGGGAAGAATGGAGGAGATGTCAAACTGACTGAAGTCAGGTATCTGGAAGGAATGCGAGGGCAGTGTAGTGTTGGATGCAGGTGGTGATGCGGTACATGTCGGGATGCACAAACGGCCGAGAACAATTGAGTGGTCCGACTGACCAAGAGGGGCTGAGGGGCGCGGATCGCAGATGCTGGCTGCAGTGTCAGTGATCATCAGGTCCAGAGCAGCCTCATTGCCTTTGTGGGAGCGGTGGGTCGAGAATGTGACGTGTTGCTGCAAGGAAAACATGTCAAGAAGACATGAAAGGTGGTGGCCTGCAGTGTCTGTTGTTGTTCCATACCAGGTGGAACATTTAGCATTGAAATCTCCCATGATGAGGACTGCCGAGCCAGGGGTCCGTATTTTAGTCAAGCAGCTTTGAAACGAGGCGTAAAAGTTATCTATCACCGACGGGTCGGTGGACGGTGGGCGGTAGACAGCCGCAATTTGGATGGGCTGCTGGCGCGTGGGGCAAGCAGAGGTTCCAGTGGATGGCGATATCTCTACCCAGGTAGCTTCGAATTGCGGAAGATGTAGGTCTGTACGGTGGGTAATAGGACCAAATACACTTGATTTTACTAAGATAGCAACACCGCCATAGGCCAGGAAGTCGTTGGTGTTAATTTTATTCTCGGAGGTGGGTCGATCCCTTCGAAAACATTCATAGCCTGGGAAGGAGAGGGAAATTTGTGGACATAACCAGGTTTCAGTTATGCAAACAACAAGGGGACAGCTGGTCGTGAGAAAGTCGGATAGCTCAGCAGATTTGTTTCTAAGGGAACGTGCATTGATACAGGCTACGGGAAAGGAGGCTAGGGGCGTTGAAGGATAGAAGGGTGTTGCGTTAGGGTCAAGTTGAGGTGTTGGTCTACTCATTGTTCAGATTCAGCCTGGTCAGTGTGGAACCTCCATTTCCGGATACTAATTTTGTCAGGCCAGAAACCAGGCCCTTGGATCTTGTCTACACAGTTCTCTCCCACAACCAGGTGGGCATAAGCTGTACCCGCAAAGTACCGTGATTCTGAGATTGAGCAGTGAAAAACTTCGACATCTTTCTTTTTACACCACAGTTCAATTGAGGCAGCATCGCATCCAAGGTCTACATTGCCAAGGTAGAAAGCCGTGCGCTTCACCCGCTCCACGCCCTGAAGGTCAGTGCGTTTGGTACGGGCTGGCTATTTTGTGAACTGGCTTGTGATAGTGCGTTTCAGTGGACTACTGGTAGTGTTGGTGTCGGCTTGTGCAGCACGGCGGCGGTGTGGGTTTTGCCACCCATTGTCGCTTGTGCTTGCATCTTGCGTTTAAGGTTTGGCGGGCAGGTCAGGTCTGGCCGTTGGGGTACTACTTCTTGTAGTAGTACATGTACTACCGTCCGTGCTGGTGTGTGTGCCTGTTGGTGAGGCAGCTTTCCTTGCAGTGCTACTGTACAATTTCTCTTGGTCAGTGCAAGCTGGGGACGCTACGGGTACGGGATTTGTGGACTGCATTCTCTCTACTACTCCCTTCAGTTGAGCAACTTCTACTTGCAAGGAGACAATGGCGTCTGTCTTGCTCGTTCGAAGACATTCTATTTCTGCAGCCATCCCTTTTATAGTCTCGTTAAGCAGCTGGAAAGTGGAGAGCAGGTCGCATACCATTTGGTCTGGTGACTTCCGTATTCCTAGTCCTTCCTTGCGAAGGGCAACAACCAAGTCTTGTCGGCCCATTGTCTCCGGATTGGTCAGTCCTGCAGCTCGGGCAACTGTGAGCAGCTCCTCGTATGTCAGCAGAGCTAAGTCCATATCTTCGTTAGTCGCCATATTATTGAGTCATACATCAACACTAGAACAAATCAGTGTAGGTGCGGTCCTGCCGAAGGCAGCTACACCGGTGAAACAAACTCGACCGCGGAGCGCAAAAACTTGCATCCGCACTCTTCTATGTTATTTAAACATCGGATACAGCAGTGTTCCTACAAGTAAGTATATCAAATTATGATTGCAAGTAGTCACATACAGTAGAATGCCGATTATCAGAACACCAACTTTCCGAACGATCAGTTATCCGAAATACCTGCTTGCACTGGGTTTAAGGGACGAGAATGAGTTTTTACTGATTTTACCCAGCCGAATCACCAATCCCCCATTCAAACGGTGCACAGGATGTATGGCAACAGACTGGGTCTAAACGGGTACCCCAAGTGTCATTTTGAGGACCTGGAGTGTGTCTAATACCTGTAGTACAGCTGAAGAAAATGAGAAATGATGAAAACCTGAGGGGGATATACATATTTTAGATGGATATCTGACTGCTCCCTTAACCGAACACGTTCGTCATCCAAACCACCGGGAGTCAGCCCCACGCCCCGAGGGGTGTGGATAATCGGCACTCTACTGTACACGTTAGCCCAAAACATAGTCCCAACTGCACAACCCATCACAAATGGCCTTTTAACCACGACCACAGCCCTGCTGCGAAACATGTGGAGGACAACATAAAACAAGACACAACGTGCCGATGCACCTGAAACGAAACCGACCAGAGGTCTCGGCTTTCTCGCTACAATCAGGCATCGATAACGGGTGGGTTGGAAGGGGGGGGGGGTGGTGGTGGGTTGAAGAAGAAGAAGACACAGAACAAACCGGAGAGAATATCACACTCTACATGGTCCAGTACTGTACCTTATAGAGCATAAGTCGCACACAGATTATTTATCACAAAATACAGACATCTAACATATTATAGTAAAAAGGGTTTCTAATTTTTCAACCATAATTTAATTGGCTCGCCATCTGAGTTCAAATCCACCCTATTTGTCATCGTTAATTTGACCATCGTAGTATAAGGCGCAACGACTCTTTACGGGTGAATTACTGGTCTTTAAATGCCACTTCAAATCTGGAAAATACGGTAACAAAAACCGAGCAAAATCTCTGCAATCAGCCAGTTGCTGTGGTTTTGCATGCGTGCCACACAAGTGGATGCAGTTAGCGGTCTTTCTGGTCTTGCGGCAATAGCGTCGCACATTGCATGATAATTTCCCTTATGAATCTCACTTTATACAGAGCTGGACAGCTACTTCAACTGAAAGTTCAGACCTGAGCAGTGCAATCCGAACTCTCTCCATGACTGCGCCATGAATTGCATAGTGTTTCGGTGGAACTGCGAGAGATGTGACCTAGAGCAGAAATCCAGGGCTGCAGAGCGGCAGAGCTCAAGGAGGGGATGGGGGGAGGGGGAGGAGGGTACAACAGTTTCTCACGAGCGCTGATGTGTTCACACGTTTATGCACCAAGCATGCCGCGCTTCAATTCGCAAAGATCCTTAGTTTCGTCACTGATCTGGGACATCAGTAAAAAACAGCATGAAATGAAGCCACCACCCCTGGTGACAATGAAGAAACGCACAGAGGTACACATAGCGATGGCAGCCGAAGCAGTGGAGGCGGGGTGAGAGCAGCTAAACCGACAAAGGGTCTCGGTATCATCACTGCCCATGCGCGCCAAACAGAAATATACGAAAATAGAAAAATTTGCAGGAGCACTACAGAGCAAATGAGAAATGAAGGTGGCAGCACAGTAATGCAATGCGTAGAATATAGGGGTGAAACGAAGTAGTCGAAGGTTCGAAGGACCTTCGTTTTCCTTTGAAACAAACCTTCGTTTTTGATTCGAACGAAGGTCGACACGGGTTTAGTGCATGCATCAATGCATTGATCTTGTGCGATGTGCTGCATGCACTAGGCCATGCTGTACTACAAGTAGGGGCACGGTCCGCGTGCGCACCGGAACTGAAGAAGTGACAAGTCAGTGAAGAACTGGCCCTGGCTCTGTTCCAGTCACCAGCGTGTTCCCGTTTTGCGTTGGTGTGTACATCTACCATGGTGTACTCATGGATGACTTTTTTGATTGTATTCGTCGAGTGTTTGGCGCTCTGCGATACTAGTAGGAGAGTAGTTTTGCGATTTCGATCGTGTTCTCGCTCAGTTATGCTGCCTGTACCAGGAATATAGCTTGTTGTAGCTGCCGTCGATATCTGCCAGTGATGGTGTCTGGAGAAAGTTGTAGCAGCGATACGAGTGTAGTCTCATTTTTTGTATCGAAAATAAAAGCGTCCATCGCTGAAGCCATCGCAGTATTCACTCTCCCAGCAGCAGCAGCGAGACGGAGCGCAGCGATGGCCTGAAATCATCGACGCAGGTGACGTTCCTCACCCAGTGACTATTCACTCTCCTCTCAATCACCAATGCACCCAGTGGATGCGAGCAGATAAGCGAAAAGTACATGTCCAGATTTGACAATTTTTTGATGAAGTTGGGCATCTGATATTTACTACGCAATATGGCTCTTTTCCGTCCATTTTGGTATTGTTCAAGCATGCAACTGGCTGTACACTAGAGCAGTACTCCTGTCGCTTTGTGTCACAAAAGCCAAGGCTAGCAAGTCTGTACACGATCCCAAGTACACTGATCTAAATTGTCAGAAATATGGACAATTGACTCACAAACAGGTATTAGCAAGAGTGCATAAACGTTGTTTATGCACTCTTGGTATTAGGTATGGCCTCTATCAAGAGTAGGTATGTTAAAACCTTGCCTCTATCTAAAGTTGTGTACTCGACCAAAGTATTTTCTTACCTGGAATGGATACATTGATACCACCAGATTCAGAAACAAATTGCACATACAATATAAGTATTGGGTTCTGATTTTTGCCCCCTTCTATTTTTAAGATTTTTGAGCGTTTCCGTGATCATGCTAAAAAAGAATCCTTCGACACCTTCGTTCGTTTTAATAAAGAAGGTTCGAATGGGAATTTGAGACCTTCGTTTCACCCCTAGTAGAATATGACGATCTGTACTGGGAATCTTGTACATTTAGGCTACCGGGGGCTTTATGCAGAGTTGCGCATGTGAACAGTGGTCTACATATCATGCAGGGCATGAACTGATGTAATGATAATGATAACGGTCGGACATCGGACATTTTCCGACCGTTTTCGGTCATTGTCCGGGCGAAATATCCGTGCGACAGACAAAGTGTCCGATCGATCCGAGACGAAAAAATACTCCATTGGCATACCAATGCACGTGGGAGTAGTCAAACTTTCGTTACCAGGCCAAATCTTTATCAATTAATTCAACAATCAAAGGGTCTAGGTGGTAGAGAAAGCTCTCTGATACTGCCTCGAACAGGTCCGAAGTCTCTCAGATGCAGTTTTAGGGAGCACGGTTTGGAATGTTCTGCGCTGCGTGCTGCGAGTCGAGTCAGCAGTGCACGAAAAGGGGATTTTCCCAGCTTGAGGACAGGCAGCACGTGCCAGGACCGGCGCGGCACGATCGCCCGAAGCCATCATCGACAAGGTATAAGCTTCCACTCGCATAACGTTGAGCATGTCCGAGCTAGGTTGATGAATGGCTGAGTGAAGGCCCTGAGACCGATTTCGTCACAGATCTGGAACTGGACTCGCGTTCGGAGCTCTTTGTGGCGGACGATAAGTAGTGCTCTTGGCGAGTTTGGGCTCATTAATAGGAGTCATTATATTTTCAGGGAAGAAACTCCGTGCTGTCCCTCACCGTTGAGTGATAAAATTTGAAACCAGCGGCTTTCAAAGACATGTGTGGCAAAATGGTATGTCCGGGCATGTCCGGATATTGTATCAGAACGACCATGATTTCTTATCGCATGGCCTGTCCTGGATTCGATCTATCTCAAGTTTGAGGGGGTACTTTGGCAAGCAGAAAGGTGAGTCAAGGACCCTTGCTTATGACCAGCAAAGCCCTACCACTAGGCTGTGTGTAGCAGATCGTGTTCAACATTCTCTTCCATGAAACTACATAGCTAGCCCCCCCCCCTTTATCCACACAGTTCACAGACAAATCTATGCAATCTGGTGGGGTGCTGCCCTCCCTGTCCCCGTACACTTCACGCACAACGGGACCAGTACGGCAGTACTAGTAGTACGCGTAGAGCGCGAACAAACCGATACGAAATACTTTCTTACCGTCCAGACAATAGTCATTGTCCACAGCATACTTGATTGTCCAGTCTCTCGCAGTCGCATTGTACAGCACACGGTCTGACATGTAGAGTCGTGCTATCTCTGCTTCTAGCGGGTCCTCTGCTAGTGGATCGTCCAGGATGGATTGGATGCACAGAAGAACGATCGCAAGGTCGAGTCGGCCAGACCATCCGTCGGAAGTCAGGATGTTCAAGGATATCTCACCCTTGCTGTTGATGTTGGGATGGAAGATCTTCGTTGTGAATTTCACTTCTGGTGGATCGTTTGGATACCCTCTGGTGTAGTGGTATGTCAAGTGAAAAACTCCACCTTCATACGGGCTGCCTTCTGGTGCCTGCAGCGTTGCATACACGCGGCGAAAACTGCCTTCGGCTGGCCTAGCAGTGATACCCGGTGGTGGATCTCGTCGGAAGTCCTCCAACTCACGCCGAATGCGCCCGTCGGCTTGCCTCGCTCTCAAGTACTTCGAGTCGCTCATCACCACTTGTGGGTCAAGGGCAGGTCGCACAATACTCCCCGCCATCACTACCGCGACAGTATGTGGATCTACGGACCGGCACACGCACACACACAGTTACCAGTATGCTGTTGTTCTTCTTTTAGACTCCACAACAGCAGAAACGCTCAACAGCAGTCAGAAATACAGGATAGAACTTAGAAGGCGGTTGCACGGACTGGTCCAGCGATCATTCATACACCAGCACACGATGTTAGGCAATGCAGACCGTGCTGCCAGTACCATCGTCACCTCCTCGCGATCACCAGCAGTCATCACAAGACAGACTAGAGGCTGAGAGCAAGCACTGTCGGATCAGCGGCTACGACAACAACCGATAAAACAAACTAAAAAGGCCACTTGACTACTGTTACATGATGATTGTACATACTTCTCTCTTCGAGGCTTCCTTCGCCGCCTTTTCCTGGGGCAGACTGTGTAGGCAGACAGTATTCATGGTATTCATGCTCCGTCAGTGCTCGCTGCCCCCAGTGCAGTATTCTATTCATGCCACCCTAGCCCTGCCCCCTGCCGGCTCGGTCCTGGGCCCCTGCATGCTATGCTATGCAGTATGCGCCCAAGTCAGGATTCGGATTTACACACGGTCGGTCATCATGATTGTACATATACCGGTACTACACTCTAGTAGTAGTACAGACCTAGATCATGGTAGATCAGGCCAGGGAGTCGTAGACGTGGTACTACACTGTACTGTAGTACGACTCCCTGATCTATTATTATCTGCTGAGTGTTCCATGATCCAGACATCTACCGTTCTACGTGCGCACGTGCATGCGTTATACCGGTCCGTCATCATGGTCATCATTCAGCGACTCGCACTCCAGCCACTAGGCAACCGCTCGCATAGCAACTCATGCAACAACGAACAGCGACGAGTAGGTCTATAGTATAGACTATACTACTACTAGTACTAGTATCAGGTATTACTACTCCGAGTGAGTACTCGAGCGAGTCGATCGAGGTGCGGCGGAATCGTCATCAACGACCATACGTAAAACTCAAAGATATCAATCTCATTAAAGGGGAAGTATACCCTAAAATCAAATTTTCACCAGTTGTAGTCTTCTGGGTGCTGAGTCGAATGGTCTTGGTCCGAGGAAGCTGCGACGCTCCCTTCCTACTTGAATCCCAATCGAACTCGCGCACTTCCACCGAAACTGGGTGACTGCGCCCTACTAGATGGGGATTTGTATGCAAAATGTCACTAAAAGCGCCATTTCGTTCTTATAAAAGCACGGATGACCGCGATTGGCCCATATGTTGTAGTCTTTTGGACGCTGAGTCGACTGGTTTTGGTCCGAAAAGGCTGCGATGCAGCGTTCCTCCTTTATTCCCAATCGAACATGGCTGAACAAGCGGTCACGTGCTCCTGGGTGCCCAAATCACCTGGTCACCGCGCCAGCAGGTGACAACTTTCACACCAAGGTTCAACTCGAGTTCAACTCGAGTGACAGGACTGCACCCAAAAAAGGTCAAACAGGCTAGTAAGTTGTACCCTGCAGGCACGGTGACCAGGTGACTGGTGTACGCAGGAGCACGTGACCGCTTGTTCAACCATGTTCGATTGGGAATAAAGGAGGAACGCTGCATCGCAGCCTTTTCGGACCAAAACCAGTCGACTCAGCGTCCAAAAGACTACAACATATGGGCCAATCGCGGTCATCCGTGCTTTTATAAGAACGAAATGGCGCTTTTAGTGACATTTTGCATACAAATCCCCATCTAGTAGGGCGCAGTCACCCAGTTTCGGTGGAAGTGCGCGAGTTCGATTGGGATTCAAGTAGGAAGGGAGCGTCGCAGCTTCCTCGGACCAAGACCATTCGACTCAGCACCCAGAAGACTACAACTGGTGAAAATTTGATTTTAGGGTATACTTCCCCTTTAATCTCTCGACTTGTATTTTTACACTAGCATGCAACACCGTGAACACGCTAGCTGCGCAGCTTGGTCGAAGCAAGAAAAATTCAGCACTGGGTTGATGACGGAGAATGAGAAATGATTACATGTATCTGTTCGTGGTCGTTTGAATGATTTTGTTTTCAGCCGCGTGCGTGTACCTCTAGGCTCTAGCTCTGATTACTGGAACACTGAACAATCGTAGCCGCAAAGATCTGAGAAGTGGAAGAAGTGCGACGCTAGCGCTGTGACTGAAGTGCGGCGCTGTCACTGTTCGAGTCGCTTGAGCGGATCCATGCTCGTTTCATTGCCACACATAATACTCTTTTTTCCTGTAGCGAATACTGAGACCAGCGAGGGCGCTCCGCAGGGTGAATAATTATTAGGTAATTATCCTTCAGCGATTGGCTTCCAGGCATTTTCACCATCAGTTAGAAGTTTCTGAGCCGTGCAGTTCGACTGGGTGGAGCTACTGCACCGCTTACTGAATAGGTGAGTGTTTGGTTCGATTATCAATGGACGCGTTCGATTATACGCAAATCAGTCCATTCTTAGAAGACGTTTTGAGGCTGCCTGCAGTTTCATAGTATTTACACAATTGGGTGAACTCACCCATTCCACAATTCTCTGCAAATCTGAACCATTCCATTATATGTAAAAGAGAAAAGGACATATGGATACGAGTTTAGAGTAACTCTCCATCACTGTAACATGATACTATATACAGTCAGAAAGTGCAATAACTAGGCACAAAACTGACAGAGTACTGAGACATTCGACGTCCTGACACCTAACTTTAACACATCTCCGTAGCGCTAACCGACAGCCTTCCAACTTGGAAGGTTCAAGGTTATGGAAAGACCAAAGAGGGGAAGGCAAGCGCAACGAAAACGAGCAAAAGCTACAGTCCCAACGGAACAAAGAATGTCGATTGTTACTGGACGATGACGAGACCAGTACGATATTTGACAAAGCGGTCTAACTACAATTCGAAGCAGCAAAGCAGCACACCACCCAACTTGGGTGGGTCATAAATATCAAAGATAAGTAAAGAAAGGGAAGCTTTGCGAAAACGAATTGTACAAGCCGAAAGCCAAACTCCTACAGTACTCCTCATGCATGACATTGTGATGGATTAGTTGACTACAAAACAAGTTGTTTCACACGACGTACGTTTCGCCGTATGGTTCGTGACGGCTCATCAGGTGTGCAATTTGAAACTCGGATGTTGAGCCATAAATAAATGTAAAAGAGAAAAGGACATATGGATACGAGTTTAGAGTAACTCTCCATCACTGCGCTTGCCTTCCCCTCTTTGGTCTTTCCATAACCTTGAACCTTCCAAGTTGGAAGGCTGTCGGTTAGCGCTACGGAGATGTGTTAAAGTTAGGTGTCAGGACGTCGAATGTCTCAGTACTCTGTCAGTTTTGTGCCTAGTTATTGCACTTTCTGACTGTATATAGTATCATGTTACAGTGATGGAGAGTTACTCTAAACTCGTATCCATATGTCCTTTTCTCTTTTACATTTATTTATGGCTCAACATCCGAGTTTCACATTCCATTATAATACAACGTTTTGGCACTTGGCCATCGTCAAGTAATAAGAATGAACAGTCCATTCTTGAATTAGTTACGGTCCATGCACCATTCGATTACACAACTTCCGCCGTCAGAATCGACAGAATCCAATTCCGTCCATTCTGAAGAGAGGGCGGAATTTCTAATTCCCCCGCCAGAATTCAAGCACAAGGCGCACTGTCCAGGTGCTCAGTGTGTGCGCGTGTTGTTGTTGTGTATATTTTAATTCGCGAACCAGACGGGCAGATCTGCCCAATGAAAAGGTGGCGAATGCAGATAGAAAGCAGGAAATAATGAAATTGGGGAGGGGCGTGTGGGGGTGGGTGTGCGTGCGCGCACGTGTGCGTGTGTGTATGCGTGCATGTATGTGTGTACATGTGTGTGTGTGGTGTGTGTGTGTGTGTGTGTGTGTGTGTCCCATATGGTGCAGTGGTATGTGCAGCGATTTCCAATCGAGAGGTTGCGGGTTCGATTCCCAACGATTATGGTCACACACGTCTTTCTTCTCTTTCTCAGACTCCTCCTGACTTTTCTTTCATTCTCCTGGGTGGTTACCAACAGCCAGTGCATGCCGGAGTGTGTGGTGTGATGTGTGCGGAAAAAATATGAAAAAGACCAAAAAGTTGGGATTCACTGGCCAGAAAAAGCCACTTCATAGCTGTGTGGTGTAGACCAGGCTGAATAGTGGCGGTCAATTCTTCAGCCTTGCAAGTTGTTGAATGGTGCAATCCCAGCACAAGCTGCTATGGCTTCTGCTGTAGCATCGCTATCATCGCCTCCGGCGATGGGCATCCAATGGTCCAATGGTGTATGTATGTGTGTGCAGTACACGCACACACAAAGACAGTTCGACACTCTACACCCAGACAGCGACACGCGCACATTCCCACGGAGCAAGAGGATGACGGAGAGTCAAGGTTTCGGACCACCGGAGCAGCAGTACTGCCCGGAGCAGATCGTCATCCCTCCTGACCTACCACTACTGTTAAAGAACTACACGAAGGCTGCAATACGCACCCAACCGTCAGACCTAGTCGCATGGTCAGCAAGGTAGGTGCATCTTTACTGCCGTACAGGTCAGACAATGTAGTATGACTGAGTATTGACCAGTGTTGCATGCAGGCGCATAGCTCGTGTATGGTCAGCGTAGTCCGGTCAGCGTACCAGCAAAATGGTCATCATGGGTACTAGCGTACATGGTCGTCATGGGTACTAGTGTACATGGTCGTCATGGGTACTAGTGTATATGGTCGTCATGGGTACTAGTGTACATGGTCATCATGGGTACTAGCGTACATGGTCGTCATGGGTACTAGTGTACATGGTCATCATGGGTACTAGTGCACATGGTCATCATGGGTACTAGCGTACATGGTCATCATGGGTACTAGCGTACATGGTCATCATGGGTACTAGCGTACTTGGTCACCATGGGTACTAGTGCACATGGTCATCATGGGTACTAGTGTACATGGTCATCATGGGTACTAGTGTACATGGTCATCATGGGTACTAGCGTACATGGTCATCATGGGTACTAGCGTACATGGTCGTCATGGGTACTAGTGTACATGGTCATCATGGGTACTAGCGTACATGGTCACCATGGGTACTAGCGTACATGGTCATCATGGGTACTAGCGTACATGGTCATCATGGGTACTACCGTACATGGTGATCATGGGTACTAGTGTACATGGTCATCATGGGTACTAGCGTACATGGTCATCATGGGTACTAGCGTACATGGTCATCATGGGTACTAGTGTACATGGTCATCATGGGTACTAGCGTACATGGTCATCATGGGTACTAGTGTACATGGTCATCATGGGTACTAGCGTACATGGTCATCATGGGTACTAGTGTACATGGTCATCATGGGTACTAGCGTACATGGTCATCATGGGTACTAGTGTAGAGGGGACGGCTCGATACCGGGACGCTTTGACAGCCAAATTTGTATAGACCCAAACCGATCATCAGCGTTGATTTTTCACTCGAAGTATGTTTGTGGAAGGAAACTGGCATGTTGAAGTTTGCTCTGGGGCCAGAGTCAATCGAACTGAGCCACTCCTTTGTGTTGACCCATTGCCTCCCAGTCGCCCAATTTTTCGCTTCAAAAAAGTTCAAATCAGAGGTGGCTCCAAACCGGACACGTTTTAGAGTGCACGTCAAATTCACTCTGGGTCTGAAATTAGGTAATTGCTATCGCTCCACGACGGCCAGTACAGAGTAACAATAAGCCTTGTGTGTGCTTCCATTAGTTTTGATTAGTATGCGGTGCTTTATTGCCGAGAGGCGAGCCGCTGTTTACCTGCGACAAGAAGTTGATTTTTCGAAAGTCGTAAAACTCAAGTCGCAGTGCGAAGCAACACGTCAAAAACTCACCTGCTTGATATGGCGCTTCTGGTCATCGCAGAGCCGTGAAATTTTGGCTCGGAGTATAACACATCGTAGTCTCACTGTGACATATGTTTTCTAATCAACATACCAAGAGAGAAAGTGAATATTGAGTCCGTTCCGGTTTGCAACCTGTGTCCTATTTGAAACCGTCCCCTCTACATGGTCATCATGGGTACTAGTGTACATGGTCATCATGGGTACTAGCGTACATGGTCAAAATAAGCAATGAGACTACTATTGGTACATGGTCACCACAACAACACAGGATGGGATGTGTTCTGTCACATTATGTCATAGTTAGTCACCACACCACAGACATGCGAACTATGCCCCGGTGCATTCTTCCTGTTTTCAGGACTCATGGTCAGCCAGGCTCTCTCTCTCTATCTCTCTTTCTCTCTCTCTCTCTCTATCTATCTATCTCTCTATCTCTTTCTCGCTCTCTCTCGCTCTCTCTCTCTCTCTATCTCTTTCTCGCTCTCTCTCTCTCTCTATCTCTCTCTCTCTCTCTCTTTCTCACAGCTACTTCCAGGCAATGAGGAAGGGAGAAACACTTCCCGTGCGGCATCGTCTAGAACTCCCCACCGTTGAGAAGGAAGCTCTAACTGAGAGGAAGCTGGCTTCACTGCACAGACAAGTAAGTTAGACACAGTAGCACTGGCCTATTCGTGCAACAGGAAATGTGTGTTTTACTCTTCATCTGATGATTGCAAAAGCATGTAACTTGAAGTAGAGACAAACAAGCCTTGTTTGTCCTTGTTGTTCTGTACTCTTCATTATACGGGATCATACAAGACCTGTAACCTGCGCCATATTCTCTTGTCCAAACTAATCTTTGTCATAATATTAGGGGGGAGGGAGGGGTACCAAACTCATCCAGCCAAACCCCTCGAGCATAGACTGGGATCCCCCCCCCCCCCTGCTTCCTTCTACCCCAATTGATCCGAGCCACGAATCCCAAGAATGTCTTGTGCGTCAGATGTTCTACTAGCCAATTGAACAATTGAACTTTCCACAGCTCGACAATCAGATGATCAAGTGTGTGTGTCGCCAGCTACAGTGCTGGCAACTGTAGTTCGATTGGTGGGTACACTTAGGCCAGATAGTGTTGGGTCTGTTGCCAACGGGCTCGGTTGCTTGAAGCTGTATTGTTGTACCTACCACCTTTGTTGGTTTCAGGGTTCACGTACTTTCTATTTGAAATATACATACCTGTTAACCATGGACTGCTTCTGGCTAGATTAAAGAGGCACTCCGGGAATTTTTTCGGTGGTGTGTTCTCTTCATGGGGGCCTTATATGGCCCCCAAGGAATGGGGAATCGCGAAAACTAGACCCAAAAAGTCGATATATGAAGCCAGGGAGGGCCAATTTTGTCTCTTCTTTTGATGGTTTTGATGACGTCACGTGTGATTAGTATTCAAATTCTCTGCATTTGAAGATCTTAGTTGTTTGAATTTTCTGGTGATGAAGAACGATGTTTGGTCGACATTCCCAAGCTTCACAACTGCGGACATACTCTAAGGAACCTGAAGGACCCCCTGAGGTGCCCCTGGTAGAAGCGCAGTCTGATGAGGGCCAGGAGATTGGAGCGGGCGACTTCACTGGTCCGAGTACGAGGATCCCGAAATTCTCTATACGCCGTGAGGCATATGGTCAGAACAGTTTTGTTTAGACAAGCTGACGCGAAGTCGGGGTGATGTGTAACGCATGTCAACGGGCTGCCAATGCTAACAGCTGCAGCGCTCTCTCGACAGCGAAGGTAATCGACTGCCCTCTGCATCACCCCACATTTCTGGCAGGAACACCAATCGTTATTTCCTTTTCGACCAGTGAAGTCGTCCGCTCCAATTTCCTGGCCCTCATCAGGCTGCGCTTCTACCAGGGGCACCTCAGGGGGTCCTTCAGTATGTCCGCAGTTGTGAAGCTTGGGAATGTCGACCAAACATCGTTCTTCATCGCCAGAAAATTCAAACAACTAAGATCTTAAAATGCAGAGAATTTGAATACTAATCACACGTGACGTCATCAAAACCATCAAAAGAGGAGACAAACTTGGCCCTCCCTGGCTTCATATATCGACTTTTTGGGTCTAGTTTTCGCGATTCCCCATTCCTTGGGGGCCATATAAGGCCCCCATGAAGAGAACACACCACCGAAAAAATTCCCGGAGTGCCCCTTTAACTCTTGTGTAATCAATGGTGCTAGTGAAGCTTATATCAGATCCACTTTGATTTAGCCACCCACACTAGTAGCAAGTATTACCTTCACTGGGGGCAGGGGTAAGTGCAGTTGGATCCCGGGACCGATACCCTGATGCCGTCAATCTTTTTCTGCACCTTTTCCTCACCCACTTGCTGAGGTGTGGTGAGCCCATAAGTGGGATCATTTCAAGTCCACCCTCGTTTGGGGATTTCAGGGGTGTCGGCCGTTGGGCAGTTCAATAGCCAATTGAGTCATCTTTCCAAGATTCCTTTTGAGTCTCTCTCCCATCTCCCGAGGAGACCCACGTGACCAGTTTTGGCAGTGAGCAAGTACAAGTGTGTGTGTGTGTGTGTGTGTGTGTGTGTGTGTGTGTGTGTGTGTGTGTGTGTGTGTGTGTGTGTGTGTCTGTGTGTCTGTGTGCAGTTGGGGGATCAGAAGGTTGTGTCTGTGGATACTATTCGAGATCGCTGGCAATCTGTCGGCGCTGGTATGTCGATCCTTGACGCCAACCTTCGGTAAGCCTGAAGAAAAAGTCTGTCTCTCGTTCTGGCTCCTCTCTCTCTCTCTCTCTTGTTCCGGCTCCTCTCTCTCTCTCTCTCTCTCTCTCTCTCTCTCTCTCTCTCTCTCTCTCTCTCTCTCTCTCTCTCTCCCTCTCTCTCTCTCTCTCTCTCTCTCTCTTTCTCTCAGTATGAAGTACCATGGATATAGCACACCCTGGATATCAATATTCCCTGGATACAACATACCCTGGGTGTAACGTACCCTGGATATAGTATACCCTAGGTATAGCATAGTCTGTTAGAGCATACAGTGGACAGAGCATACCCTGGATACGGCATACCCTGGATACAGCATACCCTGGATACAGCATACCCTGGATAGAACATACCCTGGATACAGCGTACCCTGGATATACAGTTGTCACAAAAATCCACCCAATGTGGTATGCCGGTGCATGGTACGCATGCACTGCATGCACATCCCCATGTACATTCCCATGCACTGATACAGTATAATGCATGCACATCCCCATGCACACCCCCACGTATTGATACAGTGCATGCACACACCCATGTATTGATACAGTGCATGCACACACCCATGTATTGATACAGTGCATGCACACACCCATGTATTGATACAGTGCATGCACACACCCACGTATTGATACAGTGCATGCACACCCCCATGCACATTCCCATGCACACCTCACATGTGATACAGTGCAAGCACACCCCCATGCACCCCCCCCCCCCCTGCACTGATGCAGTACAGTGCTAGTATACAGCCTCATTTACGGGCAAAATAAACACAATGGATATTTTTCCCAAGTGTTCCTCACGTGACGTCAACTCAAAGTTCTCAAAAAAATGAAAAAATAAAAAATAAAACACAGCGAAGGCAACAGTGCAGTGCTGGTGCAGACTGTACTCTCAGTACAGATGACGATGAGGAGTGCCCGTGTAAACTGTCATGACGGTACTCAGCCTTCGCTCACTCACTCACTCACTGTGACTCAAGCTGTTAGAGCACTGGGTGAGGCTACCTCAGTACCTGTCTACGTAAACTTCTCTTTACGGGTAAACAAAACATAATTTGCAATTTGTGGAGAAGCAGAACACAATTCCAGTACTGAAAGGAATTGCATGAAAGGAACCCGCTGTCTACGTCTTGACAACACAAGTCACTTAGTGTAACGAACACTGGCATGCCAACTCACGAAATCGATCGAGTCGAGAAAAGCTGCTTAACCTAAGAAGCACAAGCTGCTTTGCGGGACGAAACTCACACACACACACACACACACACACACACACACACACACACACACACACACACACACACAGGAACACACACGCACACACACACACACACACACACACACACACACACACACCGGAACACACACACACACACACACACACACACAGGAACACACACACACACACACACAGGAACTCTGTGGCCGCTAGGCGCCTTTCTGACTCAAAAGCAGCGGGGAAACTGAAACAATTTCATTGTCTATAATTATGGAGAATGGGCAGGTTAGATAAGTAATGGGTATGTCCTTCCTTGGCGTAGATGACTGCCTCAATCCTGCTCAGCATGGACGTCGTAAAAGGGGACACTTGCTCTAGCTGGTGTCAGGTTCCTCCACTCCAGTGGGATCGCCTGACGGAGGGTGTCTGCGTCCTGACATGCGTGTCTGGCTAACTTTCGCTTTGAGTTGCAACCAGACATTCTCTATCGGGTTCAGGTCGGGTTAAATTAACCGGAGGGCTGAAAAAGCAACTCAGGCACGCCGTTGGCGAGGATGTGCACTTTGGGCGGAAACTGGTGATTCTCGATGGCGGGTATAGCATCCGTCGGGTGCCAGAATGTAATCCGACCACCGGGCCCCAACGCAACACATGCCCCGTCGACGAATACGGTGCGCGTGAAATCATTTTCATGGTGGAGCAGAGACCACACCACTCTGCCGTGCCGATGATGTTCGGTCAAGAGGACCTTTCTCCTTGGGGGGGCCGAATCGATGCCGAAAATCATTCGTCCAATGCTCGACTAATAGTCCAAGGGCTAGCATGCTCATGGTCGCCTCCCACGACCGCACCTGACAACACGGCACTCAGCTTCTCGCAAGAAATGTAGGAAACGCCCTGCACGTATTCCGCAATGAACCTTTTGGCCAACGGAGACAGCATAATGGGTCACCCGCTCTGCCAGGCCGGTACAGCACAGGTTGACCATTGGACAGCTTTGTGATCCGCATATCCGGCACCTGTAATGAAGAAGGCAAAGTACACAATACCATGTTTCGATTACAGTGACTTGGGTCTCTCATATTGGAAGCAATGACACCTTGGTGGCTGTTCTTTCTGTACTTTCTGCACTTCGTTTCTCAACTGCATCCTCTTGTAGCCCGTTCACGGTTCCCATGATCATGCTTTTGTCCATACCTATCCGCCAGAGGATCTCTATCACGTCTCTCCTTTTCTGCTCATTCCCTCCAAAAAAGACATGATGCGGTGCCCGAGCCATTACGAAGCCAAACAGAATGACACACGAAGAGGCAACTCTTGCACAGTGATGATAATCGGGTGGATCATGTGGTGCGATGCTTAGTCTTCGTGCATCGTTGTTCCGGCTTTCTTGGAGGGAAACGTTTCCAACGGTCACCGTCTGCCCTTACCGTTTCCCACGACCATTTCCGGACTTCTGGTCATTGGGTCATTCCCCAGATCAGAAAATGCGAAATTTTGAAAAGAAAATAATGGTCTTCACAACTGCACAGCCCCAATCGCGAATTTTCTTCCAGCTCCGGTGGCTAGATTTTTGGCGGCGACTATAGCACACTCTAATTTCAGAACTTTTAGGTGCTCAATATTTTCGGTATGAGGTCAAAAGGCCAGGTTAGGTGAGCAGATATTTTAGGTACAGAGAAGCAGTTCCCTATTGTATTATGTGTGTTAGTGTTTGTTCGGTGTATTGAAATTTTAGGTATGAAACAGACGCACCGAAAGTATCGAAAATAGAAGTACCCCGAAAATTTGTGAAAGAACAGCACCCTGGATATAGCACCACACTCTGTATTTTTTTGCAGCTCACGTTTAGCCTCTTGTACGGGCAAAACCAAAAATAGTTATTATAATTATGTAGCTAGCATGCACAGTACTGCGCAGGAACTATAATACACTAATACCGTATTTCCGCAAATAAAAGGCCGTCCTCGTATACAACGCCTTCCTCGTATACAAGGCCGGGGCAGGGGGCGATTGAAAAAATAAAAGACCGTCTCCGATTAGAAGACCGGGCCTACTAAACGAGTCTTTGTTCTTGTGTTAAAAATAGAAGACCGTGCTCAAACTGTGGGAAAAAAATAGAAGACCGTGCTCAAACTGTGTAGAAGAAAATGGAAGAACGGGGGTAAAACTGTGTGGCGAGAAATAGAAGACCGGGGGTCAAACTGGGTTGAAAGAATAAAAGACCGTCCTCGAATACAAGACCGTCCTCGATTATAAGGCCGGGTTAGGACGAGGTTGAAAAAATAGTAGACCGGCCTACTATTTGTGGAAATACGGTAAAACAAGTGAAACTCAGTCCAAGCAACTTTCGAAATGTTTTTACTATATAGAGCATAATGAAACAAAATCACGGTTCGCGTGAGACTCGGCCAAAGGCCCAGTTTTCCGCATCCGCAGGATGAAAAAGAAAAAAATACCTGGTTTGTCAGCCACCACCCGGATTCGAACCGGGGATCTCCTGTTTACTAGACAGGCGCTTTAACCCCTAAGCCATGGCGGCGACAGGTGCTGACTTGTACCTTCTGGAAATCATTCATTCCGTTCATCATCCATCGCCTTGAACAATCTTCCAAAAGCATACATACATACATACATACATACATACATACATACATACATACATACATACATACATACATACATACATACATACATACATACATACTTAGGCTGCAACCACACTAGGTACAAAATCACGTACAAACGGCATTACAGTAGAAAACGTCATGGCGACGCGTGCTAAATGCAAAATGCGCTTTGTAGGTTTTCAGCAACTGGCGCACCCCTGTAGAAAGCCACGTTTGTCGTTTTCGTCGTTTTCGCGCTCCTTCTCCTGTGTACAACTTTGTTTTTGTACCTTGTCGTACATAGCATCAGCATCAGCATTTTTTTTGAATTTCCTGGTCTTTTCCAGCGCATGGCACACGCTTTGGTACGACAACGTCACGTGCTGGTCACGTGAAAACGTCATCTATGCAGACCGAAAAGTGTAGTGTGGTTGTGTACCGACTTGTACTGAGATATGCAAGAAATTTTGTACTGTGATTTTTACGTAGTGTGGTTGCGGCCATACATACATACATACATACATACATACATACATACATGCTGTCTGATGAAGTGTTCTGACACGAAACTCGGAGTTACAGCGGAATGAGACTTGTTTGATTCTTTGCTGTGTAATATTGTACATACATACATGCATACATACATACATACATACATACATACATACATACATACATACATACATACATGCATATACATACATACATTTTTTTTTTTACGGGGTAACGGCCTCTTTTATGGGCAAAATAAAGTCATGTAGACGTGAAAAAAATTGAGATACCATGAAAGTTAAAATAGAATTTTATTCAAGTACAATACATTGGGAAACTCCAAGAAATTCCACGTAAAACAGACGGAATTCAGTTTTCAATGGCCGATGCCTACCCCAGCACCATCCTGCGTCGAAAGGCCCGTCAGGCGCCTTCTAGACCCGCGTAGCCGGAGGTCGACTGCATGGATCACTGCAAATTGACTGCGAACTCGCACCCAAGCCATGATGATAGAAAATGGCTTGTCCCACTTGAGGGCGAGGCGACCAGCAAGTCGCTTCTGATAGCTGGCGTATTCGCGATGTAGCACCCCATCCGTGGAACAAACGAGTGGTGTGAACGACCCACGGAGGTCCTCGGAGGCCTGACGATACTTCTTTTTCTTCGCGTTAGCAGCGCGGTTGGAAGTAGCTTCCCAGGATGAATGGGAGTAACTGGGTGCGTTGGCATCAATGATGCGATTATCAAAAAACGCCACCCTGTTATCCTCCCACACACCCCGGGCAAGCCAATCTGCTCGAAGAGCAGGCTGCCCCGTCCGATCACCCTCCGGCACCATGATCGGCTCGACGACAACACCACCGAATGCCATATCAGCTAGCTTTGCATCGCTATCACGCAGATCATTGTGGCCTCGCTTGATAAGAAGAGAAAAAGTTTCGTTTGTGGGTGGGTGGGCTGAGGAGAGTTTCTTTTGAAAATTATTGATAGCTGAAACATCAATCCATTCTAGCTGTCAAGTCGATCTATTTTTCATTGAAGGGGGTGGGTGAGTGGGTGGGGAGGGTCAAAACTAAACTTTTTCGTTCGGTGAAAATTATCGCTAACGCCGTATGGCCCCTAACGGCACCCAGCACTGTGACGTACTTGACTCATGCAAACGCATTTCATTGAGCAGCATTGTGCATGTACATGTACAGTGTTGTCGGGCGCCGAAGAACGGCGAGAGAACTCTATTATGCCGAGTAGTGCGTTACGATTCAGATAGCTTATTCCATTCTGTGTGTGTGTGTGTGTGTGTGTGTGTGTGTGTGTGTGTGTGTGTGTGTGTGTGTGTGTGTGTGTGTGTGTGTGTGTGTGTGTGTGTGTGTGTGTGTGTGTGTGTGTGTGTGTGTGTGTGTGTGTGTGTGTGTGTGTGTGTGTGTGTGTGTGTGTGTGTGTGTGTGTGTGTGTGTGTGTGTGTGTGTGTGTGTGTGTGTGTGTGTGTGTGTGTGTGTGTGTGTGTGTGTGTGTGTGTGTGTGTGTGTGTGTGTGTGTGTGTGTGTGTGTGTGTGTGTGTGTGTGTGTGTGTGTGTGTGTGTGTGTGTGTGTGTGTGTGTGTGTGTGTGTGTGTGTGTGTGTGTGTGTGTGTGTGTGTGTGTGTGTGTGTGTGTGTGTGTGTGTGTGTGTGTGTGTGTGTGTGTGTGTGTGTGTGTGTGTGTGTGTGTGTGTGTGTGTGTGTGTGTGTGTGTGTGTGTGTGTGTGTGTGTGTGTGTGTGTGTGTGTGTGTGTGTGTGTGTGTGTGTGTGTGTGTGTGTGTGTGTGTGTGTGTGTGTGTGTGTGTGTGTGTGTGTGTGTGTGTGTGTGTGTGTGTGTGTGTGTGTGTGTGTGTGTGTGTGTGTGTGTGTGTGTGTGTGTGTGTGTGTGTGTGTGTGTGTGTGTGTGTGTGTGTGTGTGTGTGTGTGTGTGTGTGTGTGTGTGTGTGTGTGTGTGTGTGTGTGTGTGTGTGTGTGTGTGTGTGTGTGTGTGTGTGTGTGTGTGTGTGTGTGTGTGTGTGTGTGTGTGTGTGTGTGTGTGTGTGTGTGTGTGTGTGTGTGTGTGTGTGTGTGTGTGTGTGTGTGTGTGTGTGTGTGTGTGTGTGTGTGTGTGTGTGTGTGTGTGTGTGTGTGTGTGTGTGTGTGTGTCTCTCTCTCTCTATTTCTCTCTCTCTGTATGTCTGTCTGTCTTCTGCTTGCAGCACTGGTGGCTGGCCGGATGAAATCAATTGGTTGCAGTTTCTTGTTCTCGGCTGTGGCAGCATAACATCGGTGAGTGACTTTACCAGGACCACTGGACTGGTCGCTATGGTATTGACCATGCCATGCTGTACTGTACTGGGACCACTGGACTGGTCGCTATGGTATTGACCATGCCATGCTGTGCACTGTACTGGGACCACTGGGAACACTGGACTGGTCGCTATGGTATTGACCATGCCATGCTGTACTGTACTGTACTGGGAACACTGGACAGACTACGGTCACCACGATACTCACTATACAGGTCCTCCCTCATTATAACGAGTCCGGTTAGTACATAAACCCCGTTAGTAAATAGAAATCTGAAATCCCCTGGCGAAACGTGGTCTATACAACTGTTTACAGGTCCGGTTACAACATAATCCGTTAGTACATAAGATTCGTTATAAGTTATAACGACCCTTTGCTTAGGTCCCTGGAGTGCCAAACCCTCAGTATAAGATAATACTGACCATGCAGGACCAAGGCCAAAACACGTAGGATAAAGCAGAAAGACGAAATGTAATATATCTACGTATTCGTGAATATGGACGATCCTTTGCATCCAAGGAAGAGTTATGTTGGAGATTTTCCATTATCTTATAACGAGTTGAAGCATCGATAATTTATGTTGTATCGAGGGTAGCCCCGGTAAGTACGAAGTAGTGCCTATTTCACCTTTAGTTGCAAGTCCTGCTACAAGATAAGTCTCGTTATAAGATAACTTTTTTTCGATGGCCCATAGATTATCTACTAACGAGAGAGGACCTGTACCATGCCGTGTACTGTACTGGGACCACTGGACCAACTACGGTCACTGTGGTATTGACTCTACCATGCTGTACTGTGTGTGAGCGACCACTGGACAGTCACTACAGCCACTACAGACACTATGATATTGGCTGTACCACTTCTAGTCGTCGGTACCCACTTTCCACTTCTTTTTGACAAGCGGTGATGTTTAGTACATAAAAATTTAATTCTAGTGGAGTGCCGCCCAAATTGGCACCTACAATAATTGCTGGCAGTGACATCCTGAAATACCATACAACCCGCTGTGTACTGTGTGATACACATAATGCTCACGGCATAATTGTATTTTCTATTAGGCCCGTGGCCCACACCAAGTTAATTCCATGTTTTGCGCTTTGACGTTTTCTGGAAAAGGCATGCGGGCAGGTGGAAAAAAAACAGAGGAAAAAATAAAACTCCATTCTATGTGTACTGAGCCATGTTGTATGCACACAGAATAGCACTGCTAAACTATCACCTATAATTATCCAAAGCGACAACAAGTCGCCACAGGACAGCTGGCACACTGGGCTGCTGGCACACTGGGCTGGAGCAATAAAGTAAAAGATTTCAAGGATGGCGCATTCTGCTTTTTGACACGAGTCGAGTGAAATTCCGCTTCATCATGATCGTGGAAAATCTCAGAATCCTTGACACCTGGAATCTCCGCTCGCTTGGTGAACAAGCGCTACTGTACGGCTTGGAAAAAATAAAAAAGTTCAACCCTCGCACTTTGTACGTGCCATCGCCAAGAATGCAAGATTATCCAGAAGCTGATAACCTCTGATCTGCCATACTGGCAGGCTAGAGAATCTTCGCCAGAACAGCCGGCTAGCCATCGATTGACTCGTCTGGGTGGTTTATTTTTCTTGTCAACGATTCGAAAATGTACGCGCGCGGTGATGCGAAACATAGAAATAACTTGGTGTGGCCTTATCACTCGAATTATAAGCTTCGTAAGACCTCGGGGGAGCTCAGTCTTTTACTCGGCCTATAATTCCTATAATTGTAGACCTCGTCTTGGTCAATATCCCATACATGCATGGATAGTGTGCATGCTTTGGTCCTGCTCAGATGTGCTGTTTGGTAGGGCCGCCTTAAAGTATAAACATACCCGCTGTTCTTGGTGCTTGTGGTATGCAGGGTTTGAAAGAGGCCATGAAGATGTTCTGCCGTATCCATAGCGACGACGACCTCGGTGGCGCGGCACGCGTTCCGTTCGCTGTCTTCACCGAAGTCTTTAACTGGCTGGCGGCGCAGGATTCCAAGATCGGCAAGAAGACGCAGGATGACGTGTTGAACTACCTCTCCGGTCAGGCGTAAGTCAGTCGGCAGAAATGTCTTTCATGTCTGTGGCAAAAGAAATGTGCATGGGCGCGGGCGGGAACTCGAAATCAGCACCCCTGTCTTACAGGGACAGTGCCCTGCTACCGGGATCGCACTTACGCACATGCACACACGCACAAACACACACATACACACACGCACTATTAATTTTATTATGTGCCCCGTGTCTCAGTCGGTCGTGTCCCCTGTCTGTCGTTCACGCTCCGTATCTGCTTCCCTTTCCATGTTTCTGCCCTTGTGTTCTCACAGCTCACAGGCAGCGGGCATGATTGGACCACGCAACATTGAACATCAGGACTGCCCTCGCTTCTAGTAGTAGTCGTAAGATGAGCTCCAAACTCCCTGCTACTACGGATACATCATGCAAGAACAAGGGAGTAGTAGAATGCCGGTATTTTACTACTCCCCGATTTGAACAAGCCAGCGGGACTTCCGTCATGCAGATCTGAACACAGCCGCCCAGTCAGTCGAGTTGTAATTATTTCAACACCCAATCACATGCACCGGATGCTACTAAGCTGGAAGAGGAGTGATGTTTGGACGACCGGCCTGGCTGTAATATATTGACTTTGCGCTGGTGGCATGCATGCCCGCTCACTGATGTCTAAACGCATTGCTGTACTCCTAGTTGCGCATCCAACAGGATTTGGAACACGCCGCCTTCACCCACCTATCTGCTTACAAATGAAAATGTGCACAGATCAGACCTGCTCAGATCAGACCGGCTCAGATCAGACCTGCCAACTATAATAGTTCTAGTACATGTAGGTATCAATGTTTTGCAGTGCAACACAAGAACATGTTCTTCTTAGTTATTACCCTTGGTTTCCTAGTCAAATGTTTTAGTCAATGAGTCTTATGATCAGCGTCGTCACGTACGATGTGTGTGTTTCTTGGTATTAAAGCTTCTCAAACGACAAGTGTTCACAAATATCAGACAATGATCAGTTCTTTCTAATCATCTTTGTCTAAATACTGAGTAGAATGGCTTCACACTCCAATGCCTACGGTAGAGAAATAGTGAAAAAAACATACACCCGGCGAAATAGCGGTAAATACACGCCTAGGCATGGTATGGTGGGAATGACTGTGTGGTATTCCTTATTTTACTTCATCAAGTGAACAGGCAATGATGCCTTCTCACCAGCCAACGCCTGGCTCTCACAGAATGAGGTATGGTGGTGGGGAGGGGGGCACATGTCCATACACAAAATGGGGGGGGGGGGGGGTTGGGTTCATCGTAGTCAGTGCTAGAGAGTCTCTAACTCTGAGTTCAGTGTAGCTTTGCACAGGCAGATACTAACAGGTTGACATCAGGGTGTAGCCGTGCTGGTGGTGTGATACTGGGCTAGTGGCTGGCAGGTTGTGTATACCTAGCTTTCTTGCCGTGCTTGCGTTGTAACGTTGTATGCCTACTCATCCACAGTAGACGGTATGGTGTTGTCTTGCTCTACGGCCCAGCCGATCACACTTCATCTCCGCAGTCCATATGTGCGGCTGCACCAAGCCACCGATCGTGTTCGTCTACGCGACGCTTTTACTTTTCCTGTTTACTTTACTCACTACCCACACAGTTCCACGCCCACCCCAGTCCAGGGGTGGCAACTGACCTCCAAACCTTGATGTTCGTGCCCTTACTAGAGCGCAGCAGCAATTCTAGCGGTCTCTGTTTGGTGGTGTACAAGCGCGTACTGGGTTTCTGCAATATGAGCGCACCGAGCTGAGCTGGCGTTGGATTTCAGTTGGCACTACTGTAGTATGATTGCTGCTGGGTTCTGCCGACAGTAGTGGAGTCGATGACATCACTGCTGGTTGTGCAATGTCAGAGCGGCTGGATGATACATGTACATGTATCATGGCTGTTGATGTCTATGATGTCACCGTTGCTAGGCTGATGTCATTGCTAGTTCTCTATGATGTCATAGCTGGGTGACTGTCCACGGCACGGTGGTATAGCAGTCTTATCAGACCACTGGGTGCTGATGGGCTCACGCGGTATCACTGGTTGCTAGCACTGCGGCAGGTGATGTCATTATTTGCATACAGTGACGTCATGTTGGCAGGTGATGTCATCATTGTGCGGATACCAATGACATAGCTGCTAGCACTTGCGGAGGCAATGTGTGATTGGCTTGCTTGCCTGACAACATCGTGAGCACGCCACCACCATCGTCAGCCGTGATCGTCAGCAATGATAGTCATCCGGGATCGTCAGCAATGATCGCCATCCGTAATCGCCATCCGTGATCGTCGTCCGTGATCACCATCCGTGATCCGTCATCCGTGATAGTCAGCAGTGATCGTCAGCCGGGATCATCAGTAGTGATCGTCATCCGTAGTCGTCAGCAGTGCGATATATGCTTACTTGAGAGCAGTGTGTGCTTGCTACAAATATCACCACGAACACCATCGTCATCATCATCCCTGATCTTCGTCGCCGTCGTCGTCATCAGCCGCAGTGGCAGTACGATAGATCTCCAGCATGTGTATGGTGTGAGCTAACAGTTCCGTACGGCCGTTCACTGTGACACTGTCGCCGTCAAATGATTCTAGCGGCACGCTGCGGGCGCGTAGCTTCCATCGCCGAAGCAGACTATGAATAGAGTGACTGGAACTGTTAGCATGCAAACACATGTACATGACATTGTAATGACATTGTAATGACATTGTACAAACAGGAAAGAAAGAAAATATTCATGAGTTTGAGGGAGTCGAAAGTGGGGAAAGTCTGAAGAAAATTGACTGTCACCACCGGGACTCAACCCAGGGACACTCACTTATGGCCAGCGATGCCCTACATCTAAGCTACAAAGAAGGTTGTACTCATCACGCCTCGTGATCGCCAAGGATTTTGCTCACACACAGCGCATTGATAGTACGGCTCAAGATCAACGCACTTCATCTTTTATTGAGAGTCTAGGCGCATGGTTAGACGACAAGGCAGAAATGCCTGTGTATCTGGTGAAGTAAAATATTTAAAAAAATAAACAAACAAACACTGTAATCTCTACCAAGACTACGAACACCAACAGCAGTGAGTGGCTATCAAAACGAGAACCCAGTCAACTCACACTCGTTCTTGATAGGTGGTCCAGAAACGACACGACGGGTTACGCTCCAAGAGGAACGACACCGTAACAATGATATTCTCGTAGTCTGAACAGACACACGCGAACAGACAGACAGACGCACAGACAGATAACCATCCACACACATCACTCAAAAGACACCTCAAAATGACTCCAGAGTCCATTCGGGAAAACTTTGAGGTATGGACTTTTCAAACCGGGCTTTGGAAGAATTCAGCTCATAAATCGGATTGCTACTGTTATGCCCGGTGCAATCCGACCCGAAGTGCATACAATACTGTCGGGTATCAAATAACCGAGTGCCAAAGAACGAACCGCCTAGAATTTCACCCAGCACAGCATACCGCATCTGCCACCCACAGTATTATAGGCATGGTGGTGGCCTGGCACGAGCAAAACTTCCTAAGCTGATTGTGTTTCTCTACGCAATTGTATAGCCGGTTGTAGCGCGGACGTGCAAACTCACCTTTTTTTTTACAGCATACCAATGTATTCATGATGGCTCAACTGTGCGTAGACTATACAAAAACGTGAAAATAAGAATGATCTAGGCTAGGAGGCTGATCCCCCAGTTCTTCGGTACCCGACAGTCCTGTATTTGGCGCCCTCAATTGCACTGCCTAGACGTCCTGGAAGTGGTACGAATGCAGCTCGACGTACACATGTACAAATGCAATGATATAATCTGAACTGGTCCAGGGCGTCAGTTGTGCACTTTGGGTCGGATTTCAGTGAGCGCAACTGTAGTGCTGTCGCGGACACTGTACATGTCACATGATGTCATACCATTGTCGC